TTAATATATTTCATTAAAAAAAAACGTTTAACATTTTTTTATAAATTTGAAAATAGACTTCGTTGAATTTGCAAACGTTAAACAATATTTTTTTGGGAAAAATCTCACATATTCTACACAGAAAGTAATTTTAGTTTTTCTTTTGTTAATGGATGCATCTGCAAAAAGTATTGAGGCACTTTAGAAACTGTAAAAGGTGTAAATTTCGTACATACGTACATTCTTATATTTACATATACATATGTACATATATAGGTGTTTGTATATACTTGGAAGTATGCACTAAAAACCTTGCCCTCTGAATTCGATATAAAAATTTAAATAAATCTCATTATGAAAATGTACGCCTAGACCTAGTAATTTGCATATACACATGTGTGTATGCAAATAAAAAAACTCTGCATAAGCGAAAACACCAGAAAAACTCGTACGTATACGTAAAACTTTAATATGCAATTTTAATAATTATAAATGCGCATACATACATATGTACATATGCATTGATATACGGAGAAATATTGCAAAAATTTAAGATGAGAAAGTAAAAGCACAACAGAAAGGAAAAAAGTATAAAAATAGATGCAAAATTATTCAAATATAATATATATAACACATATATGTATAAAGTCAGCGTATTGTGACTAGCAATTCACAAAGAACTCATTGAATAAATATATAGGGAATAATTTGTAAATTGGCACATTCATATAAAATTAAATATATAATATAGAAAATCAAAATGCAGAAAATAGAAAATCGAAACAGAACTAAAAAAATATATGTATATATTAAAATAAGATTCATTTGAAAAGGATGTAAATCCACAGAACAATTTTGAAAGACACGCACATATAGAAGTAGCTTTCACTTCAAACACAACGCCGTGCAAAAAAAAAAATAAATAAATACTAAAACCCATCTTAAACATTATTTCAATTTAAAATTTAAATGTCACTTTATTGGTTAAATTTGTATAAATAAATTATTCAATAATTAAATAAAAATAATAAAAAAATTTCTCGACATTCGATAATGCGATTGGGGTTTTCATATAGTCTCATAAAGTTATAATGAACCGAAAACTAGTGTTGAGAATTGTAATTGCGGAAACTCATTTTTGTATTTAAAATAACAATAATTCTTTTAAAGAAGTGTAAAAAATTATGATTTTACGATATGTTACGCCAAGTTAATTATGTTTGTAAACATCGTCACCTAAAATGCAAAACAGCATAACCTTAAAAAATTAAAAATCCAATTTTTTATTGACCAAGTTATAACCAAAACTCAAATTTGATTTTGTTGATTGATTTTATGAGTAATTTCTAATTATAATATATCTTTTTTTTTGCTCCTGTAAGCTTATGAAGAGCGATGTTACGTTATTTTGCATTTTATGTGTCATTATATTCACTTGAACTTAAAATTTGGGTTGTCATTCTCATGCTTGTTTAGTATTGTGCAACATTTTTAAAGATTAACGTGCAAATTTCATCACTACTTTATTGATGGCGCCTTTCTTAAATAAAGACTATTTATTGATGAATTTCACAGAATAATATTCCCATAAAACAAAAAGTATAATGCATAAAAAAGTTAACGATGCCTATAATTACAAAACGTTCTGTGGCTGTTGTGCTTTCACTGTCAGAATATGATAGTCATGCTGAGAAAGCATTACTTTTTTTAATGATGTACCATTATGAACATGTGCATTACTTGTTAATGAAATAATAAAAAAATTAAAAAAATATTACACGTGTGCCCCTATATATACAAATTTACAACCGCCATGTGTGCAGTAAAAACTCTTAAGATAAAATCACGTAGGAGAAATGCAATAGTTACACAAATAATGCCCTCGTCTGCGTTTTTTACATAATGCGCCAATTTTTTCCATTTTCTTTTTTTTTTTTTAAATTTGCCATTCCTCACGATGAACACCGCCGTCTCGAAGATGGCGCGCAAATTTGCAAGGAATGAGGGGGGCAGCGCGGTCACAGCGCACACTTTCTGAGCTTGTGCAAAAAAACTAAATGTGCACAGAGACCGTGAATGTTATAATTAGAAGAACTTTTGAAAATCAAAGACCGAAAACAATTAATGTATACACACGAGCAGTGTTCAGTGCCGTTATGCATATGGCTGCTAAACACTTTTGTTTAAATTTTCGCTGAAATCAAGAAATAAAAGTGGTGAAAAACAAATTTTGAAAATTTTGTACATTTTAAAATTGCTTAGTAATGGTAATTTCGAAAATATTATTTTTGTAAAAAAAACTATATTTGCTTATGAGTAAATTAGTCGTCACAACAGTAAATTTTAGAATTCGCCAAAACGCGTACAAACTTGGTGCGGCGACAGGTGCGCGCGCAATTTTTGCACTTTCACACACGCACGAATATAAATGACAGTTGAAGTGCAAATGCCACCGAAATTAATGTTACTTGCCAGCCACAATTGTAATCAGCAGCGCCGCCGTTGCAAGCGCAACTACCGTCAAGAGGGCGCTTTAAGAGCACAACTTTGTAAATATTTCGTACGCTCTTTCATACTCACAATTCTCTTTTTCTTTGCAGCGTAAATAAATCAGCAAACAGTGAAGACAAACAAGTTAAAAGTGTGGTGAAATTTAAACGTGAAATAATTTCCAAAATAAAAGCAGTGAAAACAAAACAGCTAAAGAAAGCAGCACAATGAGCGGACGTGATAATCGTGGCAGTGGCCACCAACCGCTCAGTAATGCAATGGGCAAAATCAAGGACAAACTCACACGTTCAACGGTAAGTTTGCGCTCAGATCGCAGCTATTCGAATGAAATGAGCTAACAATTTTCATGCACACACATACAACAGGACACATACCAACGAGTCGAAGAGGGACTCTCGCAATCGAACACAGCTACCAGTTTGGACACTATTCTACCCGAGGACCCGTTCCTCTTTCCACGTGGACCTACACCACAGCAAAGACAAATGACACAACAGAATAATTTCAGCGTCGATGACACACCGTTACAGTTCGGCCCCATTATACAGGATAATGACATACACCCACCACCACAGTTACCGTTACCACTTAGCCAGTCGGCCAAAGCGACTGGCAGTCAGGATTTTGTGGCTTTGCCGCCGCCACCAACAGCACAGCACAGTCACCGTGATCATCACCAGCGCAGCACCGTTTCTCTGGCCAACGATGAGCTGCAGCGCAGCAAGCAGTCGTTGAAGGGTTCGCGCGTATCCTTCGAACGCAGATCGGTCGACAGTAGCGACGACGACAATTTCGAGAGTCGGCGCAGCGGCTACCAACAACAGAAAACAGTTAGTGTTGACCACAAAGGCATATTGAAGGTACGTAAATTAGTTTAGGAAATTTCGTGGAAATTTTAAAATTGAAAATGTATTTTCCCTTACAGGACCTCAAAAACATACTGGCAAACGATAATCGTCGCCAATTTCAAGCTAAGAAGCATGTCTCACTCGATGTGAAAGGCACACGTTTCCTCGAGGACATGCTAAAGGATTCCTCCTCTGAGGAAGAGTTTCGCAAAAATCGTCGTGAATTTCAAGGACGCAAACATCAAAGTTTGGATCCGCGCGTCAGTTTCAAACTCGAAAAAGTATTACAGGGATCAAGTACAGACAGTGATGAGGATGCGGATGATGTTGAGCATACGCGTTTAATACACCGTCCCAAAGATATTACCAAACCGGTCATAATTGACCTGAAGGATTTGGAAAGTGAAAGCGATGAAGATTATGAAGCGAGTCGTCAACATTTCCAGCAGCAACGCTCCATAAGTACAGATTCGCGGAAAAGGTACGTACATACATAGAGGGTATCGGTTCCTTTTAATAAATGTCGCTTCTATTATTGCAGCCATAGACTGTATGAAATGGACGAAATGGGTAAAAAGAAAAATGAAAACCTGCGCAACGCTGTACCTTTCGTCAGACAGATTACCGAGGATGGTAAACCCAAATTGGAAGTCTACAGACCCACAACGAATCCTATTTATATTTGGACTCAGGTGAGTGTTGCGCACATAGCCACTTTCGTATATCTTTAAGTGCACATATTACTTAAGGAACGTGTGTTAGTAGCCCGAAATTGGTTTTCGATGACGTTAGCGAATATTATATAAGTTGAAATCAATAGTATTGCTAATTAATTAAGCTGCACATTAGGGTGATTCTTAATTTCAAATATTTTTGCTTTAGCATATATTTTTTTGTTTTTTTTGTATAAAAGTCGCTTATCGCAATAAAATAATTATGTTTCCTTTTTGTATAATTTCGCCGATTATTTTACGCGCCAATCACTGTTTTGAAAACGTTGCCTACATTTCGCGGCGTTGATAACAAGTTTTCACATGTGGTTTGCGCACAAATACCGTTTATAGTTGGGATAAGTACAAATGAATCAAAATATATGTATAATTTTTATAGTAACGGTTTTCGTAGCTAAGCTTTCTAGACCGTATTCTGAGATTACCAAAAAAGGCATACATAATTGAATGGGTGATTAAGCAAATGTTAAAGTGTGTAGCGCGGATATGTAAGTCTTCTCACACACACAAGCATACATAAAAGAAGGATAACAGAAGAAGAGACAATACCGTGACGCAAATATTTAAATGTGTTTGTATTAGAAGCAGAACATATTGTTATCTATTAATAGTATGACTATTGAGGAAAATGCGGAAAATGCGTGGAACACAAAAAAGGAATATAAATTGATATTAAAACAGCAGTAAATAACGCTAAGATATACACGTCTTTAATTAAAGCGCAAACACTTGTATAAGGGTGAGCCGCAAGCTTTCTAAACAGATTTGTGTATGTAAATAATATTTGTTTATTGAACTATTTCTGTTAGATGATGTTGTTAAAGCTGTACTGCAACAAGTATGTTAAAATAAATTAGAGTGACAATGTTAGAGGAGAAGTCATTACATTAAAATCGCGAAGACAAGTTGAATTAAAGTCTTACTTAGAGTTAACAGTTTTAAAGTAACAGAAGTTTTTGTAATTGAACATCCTGAAAATTTGATTATTGATATCACCCTGTATATATGCATGTATGTTAGGGTGCAGAGGAAAGTGGAAAACTACCGCTGCATTAACTGACCAAGGGTGCAATGTAAATTTACATATCTGCACAACTGCATATTCTACACCTACATACATAAACATTCATATAAATTCTCATGTACAAGAACGAAAATCTTACCACTAATAACGGCATTTTTTGTTTAAGAATGAAAATAAATTTCAAACAAGCATCACAATCAACTTTAAACCTTTCTTGAAAAATAATTGAATTAAAAAAATCGCTTGCTAGCAACAAACCAGTTAATCCTACGAGCTTGAATTCCACATAACAAATATGTATCTATTTATGAATGTATGAACTAAATATATGTATGTATATAGTGATAATGGAATTTTGTTTTTACTTTCGCATAGCAGGCATATTTCGCGCTCATTTCAAATATTTGTATATGAGATTATGTTTACGACTAATTTCATTAATTCGAACTCGAACAAAAGGAATACTTTCGAATTAGTTTTATTAAAAGATTTGCATATACATACAAATGTATATAAAATATATATTAAATAGAAAATATTTAAATATGTACATACAAATATGCATATAGGTATAGAATTGATAATCGAATTTTGCGACTTGCCTTCGAGAGATTAAATGGCCTCAAAGTGTGTATACAATTAAATTGAATAATGAAGAACATTTTCAAGCCATAATCAATTTATAAATGTACTGATAAACATTCAACTTGGCTGAACGGGGCTAGTCTAGGAAACAGCGTATAGTGAGTGGAATACAGGAGATGAACGCGGTTGCGTCTAAAACGCCAGTCAAGCTAATAAATCAATTATTGAACGAAGTAAAATCAAGTTATTGACACACTACACTACAGGATAATTGAATTTGCGATTTTTCTAAGTGGCAAAAATGGATCAGAATGTGAAATTCGATATAAACGAGAATACCCAGGCAATTTACATTTGGTCGCAGGTAAATGAACTAAAAGCAGAAAGTAGGATTTATTCAATTGTTTTTTTTATCAATTTGTTCTAAGTGAGGTCAGGTACGAAAATAATTCGATCGAAAAAATTAACATAAATGTTTAAGGTGGTAAATTGAATCGTTGCAAGTAATATTAAATATACGTTAAGTTGCTTTTATATTTAAAAATAAGGTAATGTTTGAATTTAAATGCAAATATTTTAAAGTTTGAAGTTAAGAAATTTCTAAATCTATAAAACAAGGATCGAAAATACGTTTTATGTTGAGACTTGCTTAACAAAGGTTGAAAAAGTACAGTTAATGTTGCTTTGTTGTTTGTTATTATCATTTAAAAAAGCAATCAAATATAGAAAGATTAGTAAAATTAATGATATTTAACAACAGCAAAATTTAAAAACATCAAAAAAAATTTTGAAAAATTAAAACAAAAAGTATTAATTAAAAATTAATAAAAAAAAAGAAGAATTAATAAAAAAGTTATTAATTAAAAACTAATAAAAAAAACAGCTTATTTAAAAATTATGAAAAATTTAAAGAAAAAATATAAAGATTAGCATAGAAAATTTATAATAAATAACAGCAAAATTGAAAAAGATCAAGAATTTAAAACTTTTAAAAATATGAAAAAATTAATAGAAAAAAGCAAAATAAATGAAAATTATGAAAAATGAAAGAATGCGGCCTTCAGATCAAGTGTTTTTTGCTAAATATTAATCATTAAACAGATGTGTGGTATTTAGAGCTTACTAGGAAAATACATATTTACAATATCATTAGTAGTAAATATTTTGCACATGACTAATAATTGTAGTTTTGCCATACTGCACTCTAGCTAAACTTTGAACACTCACCGGTCTGTTTTTACCACAAACTTAAATAGGCGGCTTACATTATTAGATCTGCAATAGGCTTGAACCACAAGCTAAGGTTTAGATAGAATAAAAAACTAAAATGCAAATCCTTCTTTAAATAAGTCTAACGTAGGTGGCGAGGGTGTGCACGCAATAAATTTACTTAGAAACAAGTTTCCGCACAACGTAAATTTATTGTAAAAAGAACACACTAAGTAATAAACGCAATTTTATAAAGTGCGTAGGATGACTCAAAGCAGAGGCGCTCAATGGACTGGAGTCCACTAAAGTCAAGGCAACAACAGGACACGTGTCGTCAGCGCTCGTACATGGTCACCATTATAGTCAATCAACTTTTGATGAATCGCTAGGCATTGCTGCCTTGACTGAGAGCGTAATACATACACACACACACATGCACATCTATATGTACATACATATATACTTATGTAGAGGTGCATACGTCAATACAATTGTTTAAAACCATTTTGAGCAAATTGAAAGAAATATCGACTTTGAAATATGGTTACTACACCGTGTTGGCATTGTCTGCATTCTGCAAGAAAGCATTTCAGTTGTATGCAAAACGAGCTTATCAGCGGTTCAGGACAAACGTTGTGTGATACGCCTAACAGTAATTAAGAAATAATAGTATTAGTAATATATGTGAAAAATCCTTCAAAATCATCATTCGGCGGTGTTTACAAAATAGCAAAAGTAAACAAATCGAAACCGAAAACAATAACCGCTTCGAGTTCAAATACAAATAATCAGCGGATTTTGTAAAATACAATACATTTTTTAATTGCTGCTGGAATTGTTTTTGTCATTGCTATTGTTTAGTCACCCCCGCAGCAGCCGGTCACACGATGATGTTGCTGTCCAGCCATCATTGCCTTTGCACTCTTAATTTCTAGCTGTTATCAGAATATATTGAAACGCACATGCACATTCGAAAACAGCGTGATAAGATGCGCATCATTAGATTCTAACGAACGGGACGAACGGTCCGACGAACGTAAACGGAAGCCGTTATTTACATGACAATTTACATTACACTACTCATTAGGTCATTATCAGTTTTTTAATTGCAAAGCTATCGCCAAATTTGTTTATTGTTTATATTTTAATATAAACATTAATAGGTAATGACATTAGGAAAGCTTTCTAGCGGAAAATCTGGACATTTTTTCTTTACAAATATTAGCACAAGGTCACATTTTGTCGCAAATGTAGGCACAAAGCAAATGTGTATTTTAAAACATATATTTATTTAATATTTTTTATTTTGTATGTTTAATAAACTTTGAACTAAAGCGATTTCTGTTGAAAATTGCATGACAATATGCGGCATTTACGAAGTCAATCTCGGCGTGTACATATATACCAATTTTTTAATTTACACTAAAAATAGGGATTACATAAGCGAAAGAAATAAAACTAAACTGTTTATATATTGCTATAATCAAGAATTTGATATAGCTAATACTTTTAAATAAAAATTAAATAGCATATAATATTTAATTTGCAATCTCATAAACACATACATACGAGTATATTACTGGAAAATATGCCATTATTAACCCCTTCCTTATCTACACTTTTATTCGAAGTCAAGATGGTTAATCCAAGGTTTCCACGTTTATAAACTTGTTTAAAATTTATCTTTATAAATATACATGACTTACATCGTCTCTACAATTGCAGACGAAAATTTCTATAATTTGAGTTTGGATTAACAATGCCTTATAAACCTGTTCCATTATTACTAGTATAGAACAACAACACTATTCCCAACTCTAGCTAGTGTTACATTTATCGACTGATTACCGATTTTCTATAAAAACTTTAATAAACAAGAAACTTTAAATTCGGTTGCAACGAAACTAGAATACCTTTCACAAATTAAAAAGCTTCCTTAAAAGAATTTGGTTTTCATAACGTCATTTTGTAAGACAGCTTTATGATATAGTGGTCCGATCAAAACAATTTTTTGGAGATTGCACCATTGCCTTATATACTAAACTATGCCAACAAAGTATTCCATACAAGAACATGAAAGCTAAAAGCATGTGCAAAATTACCCATGTTCAGGTTATAAAAATTAAAACTTTGAATAATGGTACCGTTTGTAATGGATACGGCTCATATTTCGCTACATATTTAAAAATTAATTAATTAATTTTAATTTTTTTTCTGAAAGTTGCCTTTGTCCCACAAATTCTAGTCTAATTGTAACACACATGCGCACAGTTTTTTTGTATAAAATTCAATTAGCAATGCACAAATTTTCAATTCATAAAACCAAAAACATCTGGTCATAAAAATTTGTAAACTTTAAAATTTCCATTTGAAAATTAAGGTAGAGTTGAGCATTTGAAAATAATGAATGTCAAATGTCACCTGACGCACTGACGTATAGGACAGAAATTTAATAAATATAAATATTAAAAAAAAGCATGTAGAATTAAAAAAAAAATTGTGTTTGCGTTTTAAATACGATGTATGTTTAAAAGTCTGCCATTTGCGCCGGTTAGGAACCTCAAGCAGCGGTAGTACCGACAGTGACTGCAATAGCAACAACCAATCTAAATATTAGCTTGCAAAAGCAACAGCGGGCAATGTTGAAAATACCTTCGAAAATTACACCATTGCAATCAGTTCGATATTAGCTTTCGAGGAATGCGTTAGGAAACTTGTGCGGCATAGTAGCAAAACAAGTCCGCGCGCGTCAAATTCTTTCTATTATAATTGTATTGTTCCTACTATAGGATCACTTCATAATTGCATACGAAAAGAAGTATTTCAATTTAATTTGCGAATCACCCGAGAAATTTATGTGCGAAACTCAGTCATTTCGAAATAGTAACGGTCTAAAAAGTATTCTCAAAATCACACAAAATGAAGTTGCTCGCACGTGCCGACACTTTTATGTCGTTTACAATACCCGATGATGAGCCTAAACCAAGTGGGATCGGTCATCAGGTGCAGTTATAAGCTAGATCAAAACGAATATTTAATATTTTCTGAATTTTTGTATATAATTTTCAAATCAACACTTTTAATTGATTGCAGGTGCTTGCTGCACTGAGCGTATCAATGGGTTCATTGGTTGTTGGTTTCTCATCCGCCTACACTTCTCCAGCGTTGGTATCAATGACTGACAGAAATTATACGGACTTCGAAGTAACACCACAAGCGGTAAGTTCTTCAACAAAACAGCAGAGTGATATTCCCTAATTGATATTTGAAATTTCTTAATTATACAAATTTTATATTCTCATTACAGGCTTCTTGGGTTGGCGGTCTAATGCCACTGGCGGGTTTGGCTGGCGGCATTGCTGGCGGACCATTTATTGAGTATATGGGACGTCGCAATACAATTCTCGCTACCGCCGTGCCTTTCATTATCTCTTGGCTGCTCATCGCTTGTGCTGTTAATATTGCCATGGTGCTAGCTGGGCGAACGCTTGCTGGTTTCTGTGTGGGCATTGCTTCGCTCTCGTTGCCCGTGTATTTAGGCGAAACAGTACAACCGGAAGTACGTGGCTCATTGGGTCTACTACCAACGGCTTTCGGCAACATTGGCATCTTACTTTGCTTTGTCGCCGGCTCATATTTTGATTGGTCTCAATTAGCTTTCCTTGGTGGTGCGTTACCTGTCCCATTTTTGATTCTTATGTTCCTCATACCAGAGACACCACGTTGGTATATCTCACGTGGACGTGAAGATCGTGCACGGCGTGCCTTGCAATGGCTACGCGGTAAACAAGCTGACGTTGAGCCAGAATTAAAGGGTCTTTTGCGTACACAGGCACATGCCGACAGACACTCATCAGGCAATCAATTAGTAGAGTTGTTAAGACGCAACAACTTGAAGCCTCTATCCATTTCGCTGGGTTTGATGTTCTTCCAACAGCTTAGCGGTATAAATGCTGTCATCTTTTACACAGTAATGATATTCCAAGAGGCTGGTTCCACCATTGATGGTAATTTGTGCACAATTATTGTGGGTATAGTGAACTTTATTGCAACATTTATGGCAACCGTACTCATCGATCGGCTCGGACGTAAGGTAAGAGGAAATGCCCACACTATATTTGAAGACAATATTTTCTAACGGTTTGTTATTCACTCATTGCTTTCGCAGATTTTGCTCTATATCTCCGATGTGGCCATGATTATTTCGCTCTTCACACTTGGTGGCTTCTTCTATTGCAAGGCATCTGGCATGAACATCGCCGAGGTTGGTTGGTTACCACTGGCGAGTTTCGTGATCTACGTGGTTGGTTTCTCACTCGGTTTCGGACCCATACCGTGGTTGATGATGGGCGAGATTTTGCCGGCGAAAATTCGCGGCTCTGCTGCATCGGTGGCCACCGCCTTCAACTGGACATGCACATTCATTGTGACCAAAACCTTCCGCGACATGATTGGTAAGTTTCTAATAAAATCCTACATAACCCCCTACAAACAATTAACTTGAAACCTAAATCTTTGCAGATACAATGGGCGCACATGGTGCCTTCTGGCTTTTCGGTTCCATCTGTGTGGTGGGCTTATTTTTCGTGATATTCTATGTGCCTGAGACACAAGGCAAAACGCTGGAAGATATTGAACGAAAGATGATGGGACGTGTGCGTCGCATGTCCTCAGTAGCGAACATTAAGCCCTTGTCTTTCAATATGTAGAAAGATGTCACTCATCGTATGATTTACATACATATGCACATACATACATACATGCTATGATGTGTATAAAAATACAACCAAATACTAGTTTAAGTGCCTTAATTTTAAATTTAGTAGCGCAACATGCGGCAAATATCTTGACCAGTGTGAAGTAAAGTTTGCAAAACGAAGCAGAAAGGAGGTGTGCGTTTAGAATGTACGAATGTAATATAGTTCTGTAAGCAGCTAGCAAGTCAAAGAAATTATGTAGATGAGATTTATAATATTCTGAATGTGATGTAGTCTAATAGCCGTTAACCGAAAGGAAATGTGTGCACCTTTCTGTCGGTTCATGACAATTGATGTTTCCAAAATTTTTAACAAGGAAAATTTAGATGAAAAAATTAAATATATTATATAAAATTGCATTGTGTTATTAGTAGTATTTACAGTAAAAATGAGGTAGTGACCTAATTGTGTAGTTTTTTTTAATTAAAAATACATTTTTTTAATTATATTAATGACCATTAGTGCTATATTTATTAAGTTAGGCGATATAACTAGCAATAACAAACAAGCAAAGCTAAAAAGAAAAATATGAGTAAAAATTAAAAAAACTACTAAGTTAATCATCAACCGCCTTATATTATGTTATTGTTAATCAATATAAATAAACTTTCTATTCAATAAGTAATTGTTAAATGAAAAGAAAATTTATTTTAAATATAAACGGTCTGTCGACCCAATCTGAAGCGTACAATGACCGAAAAACAGTTTGTGTATTATTTATATTTCTGGAAGAATTATAGTTTCTCTTGTATGCACTTCATTTTTGGGACAACAAAAACTAATAAGCGACAAGTTCTTCGAAAATTGATTTAGGACTCCGAGATATTTGGAAAAAGTTTTTAGCTAAAAAATTAATAATATGGAAATTTCGGGTAATCCAATGGCTTTTATGCTGCACAAAAGTTGATTCGGAATAGTTCATGGCGCGCAAACCGAATCAATAATTTTTTGTTCATATGAAGTTTGATCTCCATATGTCAATTAGCGTATATTTGGCAGCTGTTTATTGACTACGCGAAATTAAAATTGTACAACGGTTTGCTTGAAAAACATTCAATGAAGGTCGTGACGTAATAAAATTGGATCATCCACCTCCGCTTAAACAAATAGTGATTAAAAGTCGTTGTGTTGGCACCAGTAAGATAACAGAGGCTCTCGACATCGCTTATGGGTCAACTCCAAAAATTTTGGTTAATGTTTTGGTTATGGTGTATTCAATGACAGACTCGTACCAAAATATCTGAATCTTTTGCGAAAACGACGCAAAGAAGAGGTCGCCAAAGAGATGCTTGACAACGTATCTGAGGACCCTACATTATTCAAACGCATCGTTGCTGGTGTCGAGTCTAGGGAATGACCCGGCAAAAATGAGCGGAAGCCGAAAAAAAATAAAATTCGTTGAAGGCCATCTCAACCGAGGCATAAAACAAGTATATGGAAAACGATAGCAGTAATACTCGCTCGAGAGTCTATATTGAAGGCGACAATAAAGATTTCTATCTAAATACGGGTTTTTTTTTGTCAGTCCAGGTGAACTTTAATCAAATGGTATTATTAATATATGATTGATTTTTTTTTTTTATTGTTTTGATATTTTCACCGACAATGATTAATTTTGAGTAATTCTATAATGACATTATATCAAAAAAAAAAATGTATTAAAAAAGATCATATTTATATTTTAGGTTTTTGTTTGCTCGAAAAAAAAATCCGCTATATAATTACATATATTTTTGAAGTTTTTTCTTTAACTTTTGTTGCACATTCTTTTAGAACAAATTTAAAGCATAAATATATATTTGTCAATTATTAAACGATACGTTTCTGAAACTTATCTGAAACAGTTAGTTGGTAAAATTGTGATTTTAAACTGTCTACAGATTTAATTATATTTTCTCATACTAAATACAATATATTGCAAAGACGCAGAAATAAACAGTTGCTGTGAAAGTATACACATCAGTTAGGTGACCTTCTGCAGTTTAATATTTATGTTGTAGTCTTGATGAAATTAAATAGTTAAGAGTATATTCATATGTATTCTGAATTCAATTAGGCGGAAAACGCACACCGCAGTTACTTTCCGTTATTGAAAAGCAATTACACCGTTTAAAATAAAGAATAATAATATACGGTACCTAGTTGTAAAAATTCGAATAATATTATATTAATTCAATAAAGGGATTATCTGAAACAAAATATAAATTTTAAAGTTTCCAGAAACCCATCAAGTATAGAAAACATCAAAAATAATATTTTATACGTTTTTTATCAAATATTCAAGCAGATAATTCATGTGGACCACTTATTAGCAAGGTACGATGTACAAATTGCTCTTAACACGATTCTTTGAAGTGATTCCGGCAAATATACTAAAAACTCTTTATAAGTATGCCGACTTAGAAAGGCAGTCACTCACCCATTACTTGAACTCTGCAAATAGCGCAGGTATCGCACTCAACATCCCAACTCCACATAGCCACAGCATTCCACTTCTTCAACGTAAACATTTTATCAGGTTTACCTCCCTCATTATCGTTGAATTGTTTGTCCATGGAACTTTCAATATCCTCACCATCAGCCATTGTTTACAAAACTTCCTTGAACCGCCAGTAATAAAGTTTATCGCAATGTTAAAAATCCAATTCCGAGAAGAGGGTGATGCTGACACAAAAGAAAATAAAACACAGGGTTCACTAGCGTTAAATATTTCATTGAAAAGGTGTGCGTCTAAGATATACTCGCTAACTTTTTGTCACATTACCCAGCAGTAGCAGCTATACAAACTCCAAAATATTGAAAGAGCTAACGTGGAAAACTTAGGCATACACACCGTAATACCTTTACATAAGAAATTCTTGTTAAAATTGTCAATTGGATCTTAAGAAACTCATATAAACTTTAATAGAATCGCCGGTAGCGTTGTTGGGTAATTAACAAGTGATTTAAACGATAGTTGAGTTGCAGCGATATTCAAGTATTGCCCGATGCACTTTGTGTAGTATCAAATATGTACAAAAAGGACCAACACTAATAAGAAATCGCTGTAACTACTCATATTGGATATTAGGCTGACCTTCTCTTTCCGATCCGACAAATGAAGAAACTTATAAAATCTTATAGGTTATTTCCGGTGTCAGAAATACATTTCAAAAGTCGTAAGCAGGGTAGCAGTAAATATTTAACAAAATCTTTGATATTTATAATTGTCTTCACAGGTATATGGAACAACCGATTCATAGTCTCATACCCAATGTATTCCCTTTGGTCAAACATAGAAAAATGTATTATCACGTAAATATACATATGTATGTATATCAATTTAACTGCTCGATTACAAGTTTATTGCAATTCAAAACTGTATTTGATGGCTGCTGTAATGCTAGCTTGTAATTGATGCTGAACTCAATTGAAACCATCAGAAGCCGACCAATAAAAGCTGGTCGCAATAAAAAAGTTTTATGTTGCTATATTACGGTATTGCAAATTTCGAAATAACAAGCTGAAGATTTCGTTGAGTACTCGTGGAGTTTAGTCTCTTCGCGCTCGTCTATTGCCATGACTCACTCAGGTTTAAAGCAAACGCACGCAAATGTGGTAATGTGCATTTATTTCCCCTAGATAAACAAGCAACTTAAAAATTTATAATATTTAGAAAGATTTCAAATGTAAAATAAAAAACATTTGCTATTAACAAAGGTTGGAAGAGCATTTACTCGTGTTTTATGAAGCTGTCCTTTTTCCATACCTTCTTCTTACATCAAAATAATATAGCCTAAATTAGAGCATCCGGGCTGACAACTAGATTATAATTGTGACGATTTCTTCAAATGCATACGTATGTTTGTATATCAGTTTATTTATAAAAAAGTATCTCTGCTTATGATATTTCTCATAAGATCTCGCATGCAACGCATATTTTCTTTAATATTATACGTATGTGTGTGAATATGGATGCGCGTACAGGTAATAATTGCATGCTTGCCAACTACTATCCGAAATCAGCTGCCACATAACTAATATACAATAATAAAAACAGCAAAAATAACACAACACAAAAGCTAAAAAGTAACAAAATACTTGTGGATGTATGCATGTACGTGTCATTGAGGTCATACGCCGGGCAAAAGTACAAAAACTGGGTCATCATTCCGCCAAGTTGCCAACATCAATGGCACTTTATTTGTTGGTATTATATTCCCTGCTTTACAATCACACACCCAAAAGATATATTGTGCTTTCTGGTCAATGTTGTACATGGGTATAATGTTATACCCATAAATACTTATGTTATTCAATATCGACCTTAAAGAATGTCGGAATGCACACGCATATTTTGTACTGCAGGATAATTCTGTTCACTTAATGGTTGTTTTCCAGATAACATTTTTTCGACCAAATTCGTCTTCACATATGTAGTATGATATGTCTGATGCTTCAAAATATGACTGTCTCGACGATTATGTACTTCTTCATTGCCGCTTAATTTCTTTCATTTGAGCATTTTCCTGAGATCTGAGTAAAGGAAAAATGTCATTATTTTGAGTTATACTATTTTCTTAAGAGACTCTGCGGAAAATGATTTGGTTTAATGACTTCCCCCATAAAAAACATGTCGTAAAAAGTACAGTACGAATGGAAAATTAGAAAAAAACAGTAGATATATTATTTTTCACATCCTAAGGCGACAATAGAATGAATCTGCTTGAGAGGATGAAGTCAATCTCAACCACAAAGTATTGGCAAAATGAGAAAAAATCCATTCTTGGCATCAACCATTAAAAAGCACATTTATGAGCAAAATGGCAGAGGCACTAAGATTTTTTATGTTCTGAGAATTGTAGCAAATTTACTTAATGTACTCAAGTTTTATATCGACAGGATAACTGCTTACAGAATCTGTTTAGGGACAGTACAATCAAGTGGTACACCGACGTCTCGAAAACGTCGGAGGACCACGCACAAAACTCTCCATAGCTATGAGCAGGTTTCTGAGCATATTCCGAGCGGAGGTATACCCGGGAATGAACTGACTAATGCGCTTGCCCGCTCTGCAGCATCCACTAACGTGGTAGGACCGCAACCTTTCATTGCGGTTAGCCAGCACGCCATAAAGGAGCTGCTCCGCAATGTTGAAGCAGTAATAGAGACATTGGCAATAAATCCCAGGCATGCGTGCAAAGTTGTTAATGTGTGATTACAACTTCAAAAGGTTTAAATATATAAACAATCTCCCAAGGGAAAAACTCAGGCTTGTGGTCGGAAAAAGCACTTGTTTAAGATGGGCCCAGCATCTTGTACAATTTGCGGATTCTGCCATTTGGAGTCTGACACACCAGAACATCTGCTAATGTGCTGCACAGCAGTCTGCAGGCGCCGTTTACAAACAGAGATCACATCGCTTAAATAACATCTAGCAGTATATTGGAACTTATCAATTTGCTGGGGTTAGTTGAGACTTTGTGACTTAGGGGAGTTCACAATAAAAACTAGATCGCGGTGTAATCCCCACTTACTCATCTAATTTATCTACAGGATCATCGAAAGTGAAAAAATGCGTGTTTTAGTTAAAAGCTTAACTTATAACTTGGACGAAGTATAAAAAACTAAAAATTATTTTCGGCAGACCTTTTTACAAAAAATGAAAATTTCAGTGAAAATTTCGCGACATTTTTTTCAAATAGTTGTAATCGAAGAAAAAATCATTCGTCCAAATCTTTAAGAATTGCATGTGAAAGACATGTGTAAAATTTCATGACGATCGGTTGAGTAGTTCTCAAGAAATCTTGCCAACCGACTTCAAAAACACAAAGGCGGCGCACTTAGCCTAGCAAACCTCGAGCGAACAAGTTCTCAAGGCTGTATCTTCGAACCGACATACCACATATTACTCGGATAAACTTGAAAATTTGGATAGGAAAATAAGACAATATTCTAGAGTTGTTGTAGAACTTAATAGGACAATAAAGAAATGTAGAAACCCGTAAACCCTTCAAACGCCTTAATCCAAACTAATAAAAAAAAATATTTCATATCCAGGTAATAAAAAGGAACCATACTCCTAGCAGTAGTTCTGTAGACACGTTAAAAATAGTAGTTTAACTATATGCTTATAATATGTACATACAAACATCTGTATACTCCATAAGCGCAAGGTTTATGTACAGTTACCATATATGTATACCCACACATCAATGCATAATGCTAGCGTTTTACCTTCATTGCTAGTTGCAAATGCTTAAGCAATAGCCGCGCTAACGTTGACTGCATTACATAACTCAAACACCGCGACTGCTTCTCCTTTCCCCTCCAATGCGCCAACAACACGTTCGCGCTGTTAAATGTGTCAAYAGTTATTGATGCACATTTGTTTGTACGCATGCATGTACGTATGTATGTATGTATGTTATATTGACAACGCGCTGGTATGTTTCGCAAACAAAGAAAAGAAAAATGCACACAAAGCTTACCAAAATTTATGGTCTCAAATGCAACAGGTTTGCCAAAGTGTTCGGCAGGTGCATACGGTATGTGTCTACGCATGTGTTGGTTGCTATTGGTTGGCCTATGTTGCCTTGAGCTGCATGTACAACTGAAGTGTGTGTACGTGCGATCCGCGTTTGCGCTTTCACTGTGTGGCGCTGTGCACTGAGCGTAACGAAAAGCAATGCTATTGTTGTTGTTGTCGTTATGTTAGTGCAATTAAATTGCTCAATGATGTGCCAAAATTGGAGTACAAGTTACCTTAGATGAGTTGAACTATTTTAATTGGGCCAATAAAAAATATTAAATGAAGTCAAAAATTATACCCAACACGACTCTACTTTTTTACCTAAAAATTTTTAGGCAAAAAATATTATTCGCAAACACGCATAATTTTAAAATTATATTTTTATAAGCAAACCAAAAAATATGCTAATATTTATATAAGTTTGATTACAAAGATATACAAACAAATTTTAATAAAAAAAATATTTTCAATTTCAAATGAAAATTTGCCACACATATAGTCAAGTCATAATTTGAGTAAAAACGATCGAAGAATATATTACTTACCACGTTTGTCTAGTTCATGCAATTAAAAAGTTTGTAAAAAATTTGAGTGTTTCTTTAACTTATTATTAAATAAAATAATATTAAGCCTAGGGCAGTTTTCAAGTTGTATAAAAATATATAACACATTTGGCTTATAATAATGGAAAATAACGGAGCAAACATAACTGTTAGCTAAGTGCCGCAGTCTCGCTTGCCCCATTGAACCCCCCTTCCATTACTTCTACATCAACTACAACGTCCTTCCACTTCTGCTTCTCCTTTCTACCAAGTGGCCATCGGTCCTCCTTGTTCTCGTTATCGTGCTAATGCTTCTTTATTAAAATCCTCATCAGTATTGTTGTTGTTGTTTTGGTGTTACTCCCGTTCAGCTCAACATTAATGCGCGCGTACTTTTGTGATTACCTTCGGATGGACTAATTGGGAGTGATAATGTTTTAACATATTGGTTGTTTGATTGGTTTTCTGGTTTCCTGCTACTACGCTTCATCCTTTCCATCGGTTCGTTTCTATCCACTTGTTTTTACTTGTATTCGCGATCTGTGGTGGCAATTCTCAAATTTCGTCGGTTTCATTTAATTTCAATTGGTTGCAATTAACATTTTTATTATCCGTGGTCTTCATCTAGTTCGCCGTGATTTCATACAATGTCATTATGAGTCATTTTAGAACTACTCAGCCTTCTTCGTCAACAGTTTGTGAACACGCTAAATAAGAATCATCATTTAATAGCCATGATGATGGTCATGATGTTCTTCCTTATGGAAGATTGGCACTTCAACATGGTACTTTTCTGGGATGGGAATCTCTTTGTGTACTGGTACCTTGACTTCTGAGTACACTGGATATGGTTTCTCAATGGGTACTTTAACTTCATATGGTACTGGTTTCTCAACGGTGTAAGGTACCTTCTTCTCCACAGTGTAAGGCTGTGGCACTGGCACCTTTACATGTACTGGATAAGGTTTCTCAACTTCGACTTTGTATGGTTTGTCAACTGGCACTTTAACTTCATAAGGTACCTTCTTTTCCACAACAACTGGATATGGTTTTTCAACTTCGACTGGGTATGGTTTCTCAACTTCGACGGGGTATGGTTTCTCTACGGGCACTTTAACCTCATAGGGCACCTTCTTGATCACCTCATATGGCTTGGGTACAGGTACCTCAACCTTCACTTCATAAGGAATCTTCTTGATGACTTCGTAGGGTTGTGGTACGGGCACTTTCACCTCATATGGAATCTTCTTGATGACTTCGTAGGGTTGTGGCACGGGCACTTTGACTTCGTAGGGCTTATCAACGGGTACTTTAACTTCATAAGGCACTTTCTTTTCCACAATGTATGGTTTTGGCACATGCACTGGTACTTTAACGTATTCCTTAACATGTACGGGCACCTTTTTCTCGACATAGTATGGTTCGGGTACAGGCACTTTCACCTCATAGGGTACCTTCTTTTCCACAGTATATGGAACGTGTTTGGTAACGGTGTAAGGCACTGGCACTTTCTTCTCAATAGTGATAGTCTTGACGTGTTCATGATGATGATGATGATGTCCATAGTCGCCTAGATGAAGACCACGTTTTTCGACGTTTTTACTATCATCCTTTGTTTCGGCGGCGTCCTTCGCAGTTTCTGCTGCAGCAGCATCCGCTTTTTCAGCTGCCGGCGCACAATTGGCAATTGCCACGCACAAGGCGAGACAAGGTAGTACAAACTGTAAATGGAATAAAATGAAGAAATATTAAGTTTAAGCCAAATTCACACATCCATTTGGATCACTACAGATGCAGTCGTCATTAGTATTATTATTTTTTGATTTTCTTAATTACCAAGCGCATTGTTGAGCTGTCGGTGTGAACGGTCCAATAGAGGAGAATTAACACAAAAAGTTTGTTTAGCCTATAACGAGATCCAAGTTGGGACTGACTTGTTCAGCTGCGCACGCTTACTTTATATACATGTGAAAAAGCTGCGCGCGCATGCGCTATTGTAGCAATCGTTGCGCCTGCCATGCGCTGCTTACCATGCGGCAATACATTCGCAATACCAGCAGACACCACCGCATTACAAAAACAACTACAATGCATGATAATAAGCGACGCCACAACAACAACCACCACAATAACAGCGCCATTGGCGCAGAGACGTTGAAACGGTATCAGCTTAAAAATATTGTAGCAATACTAAGTTTTGTGGTTTTAGCCGAATTATTAGTGGCAAGACTGCAGAAACAAAAGAAACAAACTTCAACTATAGTAATAAGTAATTAGCATTAGTTTTTAAAAAGTTGTATACGTACCCACAGTGTGGCCCGCAAGCGAAAGGTTTTGTCTGTGTTATTCCACAATCGCTTTTTTCGACGTGAACTTAAAGTGTTGCATAAAAATTTCAGCCATGTCCATGCCCCTTTTTTAGCTCCTCTTTTTTTTTAAACTGGAGCGAAATAAAGTGGCTCCAGCGATTAGAACTCCGAAAAGCCCTCTGTCGCACTGAAAAAGTCATAAGCCTTAGTGGAATTAGCAGAATTGATTCAGGTTACAGACGTTGTAATTAGAGTAACAGTATTTCGATGAAATAAGTATTCTTCCACCAATAAAAATGTGCCAATATGGCCTGTATACTAAAATATCGGTTCTCTCAAAATCTGTGGTTCATGACATTGTGACAGAGCACTTGAACAGGCGCTAGGTGTGCGCTAAGATGGTCCTAAAAGTGGGTGACTAGAAATTTCGGCGACTAGAAGTGTGCCATGACAATTTGAACATGTGTGAAATGACCCCCAATTTTTAAATAAGGGGACCCAAACAGGATCGACCGTGGCTCTCAAGGCTATTCCGGAGAATGCCTTCCGTGACGTAATTAATATGTTGTTTAAAAATACCTGATATTTAGTGCCTAGTAGAACGATTTTTACCTCCAAATCACATTATAATTTCTTTCAACGTTTTCGGTAAAGATTTACATGATTATCTTCAAGAAATGAAATTTCTGGTCCAAGCTTCTGCACCAAAGCGAGAGTTCTCGACCAGAATAAACTGTAAAAGTATAGAGTATGCTTTCGCTTTGTTGGGAAGTACCAACCCTAGATTAAGTAAACTGTTCAAGAAATTTCAAAAATTCAAGCAGTTCTGAAAGTGTTCGTTTTTTTATCTTTATCACACTGAAATCTGACATTATACGTACAGTAACTATTTTATGTCCTAAAACCCAAACTTTTGAGCAATTACCACACTTTGTATCTCTATGGAATAATCACCCTCTCTAATTGACATCGTTTCATGTAGGGTACTTCGTAAGCGCTAAGCATTACGATGAACACGATTCGCAAAGTATACTATATACAGGTAAACATTTCGAGCAAGTTTCCCAAAAAATCGCGACGTGTTAAGAGTGTTGCCACAAGAGGAAAGCATTCAACGCTCGGCTGGTTATATCAACGACCTGTTTTCCGCACTCCAACGTGCATTCATGCCAACACCGACTTGCGAAAAGGAAACGATACAACGGCACGGCTACAACGGTACATTGACGACGAACTTACAGCGCTAGCTTGTTGCATGTGCCGATCTTCAACTCACACACACACACACATGCATGCCATGCACAGAGATCGAATTTAAATTAGCACACTGCCCGTGTAGGTCTTACGAAATCGCTGGCACTCGCTGGCGTGCATGGACGCGTAAATGTGAGTATGTTGGTATCTTTATAATTTTAGCGTCAATTTTATTTGCATTCAGTTAGTCAGTTTGGTCTTTTAGTGGCACGCGGAGACTAATGTTAGCGCTGCAGACAGACATTGACATCGAACAATGAAGCTGTACGCAACATAAAGACTCGCCGACATATGCACATATCTACATACATACAAGCATATATGCAAATAGATATGTACATACATTCAAATACATATGTAGATGTATGTATAATATGTAAAATGCAATTTGCTTGCAACAAGCAGCTTCCGTTTTGGCTGTTTGTAAATTTGACACCACACGCGCGTTGTATACTTAAATGAGTAAATGAACTTGAACAGCCCCGCTAACTGTATCGTAAACCATAAAACCTCAAAATGCAATTTTATTTTCACTTTCATTGGAGTGTAGGTCTTGGGCTCGCTTTCAATTACGGAAGAGAGCGCATGGCTAATTGCAGCCATCCAGGCAGTTGGCCAGCCGTGCGCAGTGGCTGTTGATCTTCAGTAAATCATCTAACGGTTGTTATTGAAAACCTGAATGCGCTCCGGCCTTCCTGCAATTCTTCGTTATATTTCTTTCATTACTGCATTTATTCGGTTTTCGCCACTATTTCGCAATCTGAAGCATAGATATGATACACTCATACATACACCGTAACCTACCGTATATCCATACATATGCATGTATATTTGTGCTGATGGAAAAAGGAGTTTGAGTGAGTGCATTTTTTTCACTTTCAAGTGTAGAGAAAAGGCATTCGAGCAAAGTTTACTTAGTATAAACAAATTGACGTCTGAAAGCGATAAAACATACACACATTCATGTTGATTATACAACAACATTTAATGTAGCAGTTTTACGGCTATTTACTGTATGTTTTGACGGGTAGCTTTCAATATTTTCTGGTGCATATAAATATATACATATATTTTTTGCTGTATAGAAAATGATATATTCACATACATCCATGTAATATGTATGCTAACTGATGAGATCGAATGCGGAAATGTGTTAACAAATTAATTAACTTTTTTGTTATAAATGCGTTTAAAATTATATATATAGTACGAGTATACATACATATTTTTTACTCTTTTAATATTTTCAATTAAAAGTAAGCTTTGCTAAGCCATAGAGCGGCGAAGAAATCAACAATACTTATGAACCTGATTTTCATGGTATTATTGCGAACACATGGTTAAAGGTTTCGATACAAAAATTATCATTATTTTGCTAATAATTTTCAAAAAATTTAAAAACAGTGCTTAAAACAATTTAATCCTTTTTTTATCCTGGCAAAAAACTTTACTTGGAAATTATTTGGTTCAAATCGCTCATAGTATCGATACATGCAATCATTACTATTTCGGACTGTGGAAAATCTAAAGGAATCTAAAAATTGCAGATCTACCAGTTTTAAGCAAATGCGAGATATGCTATCTGATCAAATTTGACCCGGACTGTTTCATTTTGACTGCGCAAAACGGATGACTAAAAATATTTTTTTTTTTGTAGATTAGTACAACCTTTTTTATGTTCCTGTGAAGTTTGAACTCCATAAGTCCTTTAATGTGTGTTTTACCGCTGTTTGTTTACGGCGCTTAGAGTTTTGTGTTTCCAATCGAAACTCGGCTACGTGATCGCTCGTGTTTTGGGGAGTCTACTTTATTACAGAGACAGATATTTTAATGTCACAAGGTATTCAATTGTGTGCTATCGAAGAGAGTTCTCCATCCACAACTCTACATGATGATAACATTTAAAAAGTTAAGGAAGCAGTGCTAGAAAATCATTGCGTTGGTAACAACCGGAAAAGTTTTTTGGGTGCCTGCTGACGACAGCCTTACTCCACGGTACTCAAAAGTACAACGGATCAAATCATTGCGTTGATCAGCGCCCTGATCATGCCTGGCATTTTCAGTTTGGAATGGACACACTAACCACCTTAGTAGGGTTCGAGGCCCATCTAAAACCTCTGCCGTACTATGTGTCCGGCACCCGGTTGCAATGCAACTCCACATCGAACAGACAAAATGTCAATTCTACCCGCATTTGCCACCACCACCGTGGTATCAGAATTAAGTCTCCGGTCAGACTTCGTAGCCGAAACTACTACCAGTTGAGCTTCCATACTGCTCTGGACTGGTGGCCAGTATCGTGTTGTTAACAGAGAGATAACAGAGAATCTCAACATCTCTTATGTATTGACTCAACATATGTTTATTAATAGTTTGGGTATGACGCGAGCCAACGCCAGAGTCGTAATCAGAGTAACCTCTAGAGACGAGAAGTAGGGTGACGAAACTGTCTGCATGACGCTACAAAAGTAAGCTGAAACGGAAGAATCAAAATTCGTTGAAGGCACAGAAGACTTATAACAAGTGTATAGAAAATTAGATTAAGCGTTAACTGATTGTATTGGCGCAGTAGCCTATTTTCGAGACGTTATTAAAAATTATATGTATGAAAGTGTATTTTTCTGTCGATCCGGATCAAATTTGATCATAGGAAAAAATAAAACGACATTGGTGAAAATTTCGATGCAACATCTATTAAAAAAGAAGTGTGTATTGCAATTAGTCCTTCAAACTAAAGTTAGAGTTAAAGTGAAATTTTGGACACGGATTATGTTACCTTATTCACGAAATGGCAGATAAAAATCTGCCTTACTAATTACATAGCAACATAACAAATCAATTATTTTTAAAAAGATTATAGAAATTTTGAAATCATGAGGTGATTGGTATTGATTCAGCAAACCTTATTACCTCTTCTGGTGCATTTAGTCATAAATATGTTTTTGTATTCAATACCTCACAAGTAATTATTTTCTAACACGAAACGAAGGCTATTAACATTCCGTTCCACAACAGAAGAAATATAATTAGCAGTATTAAATAATGTATAGTAATATATGTATATACTTACATATGTATGTATGTTCGTCAGTAAACCAAAAATTAAATAAATTGCTTTAATAATTATATGTTTTTACTATTTATACCCTGGACAGGATATACTATGGAGCTTGTTACACCCACTAGGAAACGTTGAACCTCTATACTGTATATACATATAAATATATAAGAGAACAGCGTGACTAGCTGTGACAATTTAAGGATGTTCACGGTATAAAGGCAAACTAGCCCCTCAGTTTTTCAGATATCCCTTTGAAATTTTTTCCACATTCTTTCCTCTCAATGAGCTGCTCATTATTATTATTATCATTATATTATTATTATTTTAGAAAGGCAACATTACAATTTTTAAATACATATTTTATATCTGACCACTATAGCATATAGCTGCCATAAAATCTGACCGATCAAAATCAAGATGCAAAACTGTTGACCGATTTCGTCATAAGAAATGTATCTTTGAAGGGTATTGTTAGGTTCGGTGCCGAAGTTTACAATTTTTTTTATTTAAATATAAAATGCATTGAAATACTACATATTCAGAGGTTTCGACATTATTAATGATTATTATATTAAAATTCAAATATAAAAAGGTCTAATAGCTTGTGGGTAGCTCAATTTGTCGAAGATTTTGAAACTACACCAACACAAATGGTAAATAATCATATATGGATACATGCATTTATGTATATACTACAATCTATGAATATACATTTGTACTTAAAACTTACATCATTATGGGTGTGTGAATTTTATGAGCAGTCTTTCATTACAGATGACTTTACGCCGACAACATAAAACAAAATAATATGAAAGCAACGCCTTGCCGCACTAACCCGCTTTAAGACAATTCTGCATTCACTACCACACTTAAGACTTATTATGCACATATGCACAATGCAGGCTTAGCAGTAACAAAACATATGCTTACATACATACATAAATATGTAAATACGTTACAATATTCGACGCAAGGTCCATTCGTACAACATATGTATGTAAATATGTTTCTCTGCAGTTTATTTTGGTCAGCGACCTTCTGAAATGAAAATTAGTTTTTTATGCTTGCTTATTTATTTGCGTCCATTCATATTTAAATGCGAGTAAGTATTGTTTATTATGTTTGAACAAATGAGCAAGTCTTTGTTGTTCAACGCTTTGACTATCCTATAGAAAGCAAATCGAATACGTTTATTTTTCAAATCTGCCTCCGATTAGAAATTCAAGTCAACCTTGACCATAATAGTGACAAATAAGTACAAACCTGGTAAGAAATCATTCAGTTTAAAAACGGTCACAGGTTTTTTTAATCAAAATATTTATGTACAAGGAACGTCATTATTTAACGCTTATCATTTGGCATATTTTTATAACAGCAGTTGCTATGAAGAATGGGTAGGGACAAAGTATGGGACAAATAATAAAATTGTAAATTTTTATAATTAAATTTAAACTTTTTTCCCAATTAAAATTTTTATAAATATTACAAAGAAAGGTTAACGTCATGTTAATCCTTTGCTAATGATCTATCCATTTATTTCCATCATAATTCTTTTCTTTTTTTAAGATTTTCTTCACTGGTAACAGTAAGTAATAATAACAAAATTACCAAAAAATAAAATAAAAATATCTTAGTAATTCGTATTAATTTTTTTTTTTTTTGCCCAAAATCAAACTCTTTGTGCCAGGCACTAACTCAAATATAACGCCAAATTCTTCTGATTTTCAGAGTATGGAAAGGGGGCGTGACAAAACCATATCATAAGATTTGTTCTAAATGCACATACAACAAAGTTAGCAATTTGATAACTTTATGGTTCAGCTCTGTACTACCGTAATCATTACCGGTATTGCGAAATCGTTACTTGGGAGAATTTTCATGCAATTCATAAATATAATGAAAACTGTACTATTCCATCCAATTTAAAATTTCCTCCGGGGAAGTTCAATTTCTAAATATTGAACTATTCTACTGGAATCTTTTTTCAGATCAACTAAATTATGAATTTTCATCTCGAAAAGATAAGTCGTGTTATTTAGTTTCGTACTGTAGGCAGTGCCGTAGAGAAAGCCATTGCCCGATGATGATTGTAGTAAATCACAAGTTAGTTTGGAGACACTCCGTAATTTCCGGGAGCCATGGTGGTGATTTGCTAAGGTCAGGTGCTCAGTAAAGAACGAGTCAGGAAACATTTTTTTAAATTAAATTTTCTAAATAATACAAAATATATTATAACACCAAAATAAACTTGGAACCAATTAGTCGACTAACATGTATTATTGCATTTATTTACAATCAAAAGAACTTACTACATATTCAATGACAACAAAATAGTTTGGAATACTGGGGTTGTGAATGAAAAGTTTGCTTTTTTAAATATTTTTCATTTGTTTCTATTTAAATTTTAAACCAAATCTTCAGGATTGAACATGCCCTAGAAGAGAAAAATACATTAATAATGAAGTATGGGACGAATGCTTGAAATGAAACTTACTCTTGCACGTCTAAGAATGGAATCTTTACTAGCATCGTATGGATGATCCTTTGAAGGGATTTCCAGCACAGCGGGTACTGGTGATGTATGTGCATCAATCACGTGACGTATGAGTTCAGCGCAATTTTGGTTAATCAAAATAATATCGATATCATCGCGCTTCACAAAACGTCTAAAGCAATCTTCGACTTCACTCACTGGTGTATCTGTTTAAGTCACCATTAAATTACATATTATTATATGTAAAATTGTTTAATACTTTTAGCTTACTCTTGTCGACGACCATGAAATTGGGGTGACGGTTCTTGTTGATTTCACCAACTCCACCCAGAAGAAAACCTACGCAAGTGTCCTAAAATGAAATATGGGTAGTTAGGAATAAATATATATTGTAAATGCTCGTCTTTACTCACTTCATCTCCAATAACGGATATAAGTTTTCCTCTTGCCGAATGCAAAGCCATTTTTCCACTTTTTGATCAATAATCTACGTTTGCATAGGTAGAGTTCGCAAATGGTCAGCTGACATACGTCAAATGACAAATTATCTAAAACAAAAAGCTTCGCTGATAAAATTTTTAAGATCGCCGTCCAAAAGAAGGGACTATTGAGCGCTGCACTTTATTTTATCGGCGTGGAAAAATCTCAGTCACCCATATAATGCATAATGTTAATACAATCTGTGAATACAAACATATATATATTTTGTTGAAGAAGCTTAAAAAAAAATAAAAAAATTTATACTTTAAAACTTTTAATTTAAGTTGTATTTGTTATGAAAATTTTAGTATAGCATCCCGAAACTAAAATGGTTATGGACGGAAAGGGGATTTTTTGATTTTTAATTAATTTTACAATTATATTTTGTACATATTACATAGAGCAGAAGTTGCATTAATATAATATATACCATAAATTCTTGCTCAATTCGATTTATTCAAACAACGGTCAAAACATCTGCATCGTGAATACACCTTTTATACCAAATCGTTGAGAATTGTTTAAAATTGTTGGCAGCACAAATTTTTGACATTTCTGCTGACAGCATTGTAGACGGCAAAAGTGTTTGGTCATTTTCATCACCGCTTATTCGATTATTATTAATTCATTTTCTCTGGATTTATAAATTTCAACTTAGCTGTAAGACAAGAAACAACAAGATCTCACACATCCAAAATAAATAATTGTTTAATATTTTGCAGATGTTTTTAACACGCGCTGAATACGATCGTGGTGTAAACACATTTTCACCAGAGGGGCGCCTATTCCAAGTGGAATATGCTATTGAAGCCATTAAATTAGGATCTACTGCCATTGGTATCTGCACCAGCAGTGGTAAGTACATTTAAATGATAAATTAATCAATTACTAAGTGATTGCATTTCCTTTATATTAGGAGTGGTACTCGCTGCAGAGAAACGAAGCACATCTGAATTAATGGTGTCTAGCAGCGTGGAGAAAATTGTTCAAGTAGACCGACACATCGGATGTGTTACATCCGGGCTGACAGCTGATGCGCGTACATTAATTGATCGTGCGCGTGTTGAATGCCAAAATTATTGGTTTATCTACAATGAACCTATGCCAATTGAGTCCTGCGCGCAAGCAGTATCTGCAATGGCTATACAGTTTGGAGATAGTAGTGATGGCGGATCGGCAATGAGTCGACCATTTGGTGTTGCGATGTTATTTGCTGGAATTAATGAAGGCGTCCCGCAGCTTTGGCATATGGATCCTTCAGGGACATACGTGCGTTATGGTGCCAAAGCCATAGGCTCTGGTAGTGAGGGGGCTCAACAAACATTGAAAGATGAATATCACAAAGATATGAGCTTGCAAGAGGCGACGAAGCTGGCCATGTCTATACTCAAACAAGTCATGGAAGAAAAACTGGAATCAAAGAATGTTGAAGTGTTGGTAATGAAGCCAAACGAAGATTTCCGTATGTTCTCTAAAGAGGAAGTAGAGCGTGAAATAAACGCACTGTAGGGTTTTAAGAAACAGCTCAGTCGTTTGGGAAGCGACCGTTTATGCATTCAGATTAAATTTGTTTTGCTTATGGTACTTTGTATTAAAAAAAAAAAACTAAAATAAAATAATAAATTGAAAAAAGCATTTGAATACTTTATCGATATATGTATGTATGTTATACGTAAAATATTATATGTATTTTATTTGACTAAGACTACGTTCAAAAATATTAATTTACACGACTGTCGAACTTAATATCAAAAAACATAAAACTAACTAAGGGAAGACACTATTATTTGACGTTCGTAACTATACCGTAGCAGTTACAACTTGGGTTACTTTACATAGGATATTCCTATTCATATAAGCTTATGTGATTGATATTGATATTACTGCTTATCAACACCATTGCTACCGCTATCTTTGCGACGTAATAGCAAGGTTTGGCTAGCATGCGGATCGGTTAATGAGTATATTTCGGGTTCGAATACCGGCGGACACTCCATGTGCGGATATTCTGGCGAGTTGATTGTCGCTGCATTCACAGCAGTTGAATTTAACTCTTTCAGACTTCTATTGCCATTGCCATTACCATCACGGGATTCATGCGGCGGCGGTGGCGCGATATCTTCTGGGGCTGTAATTACTTCGTTGGCTTGTGAGGTAGTCAAATGAACGTGCCGCGTGTTGCTGGCACCAGTGCGATCACCTTGATAGTGATTGGGTTGATGATGATGGTGATGGCTGGTATTCACTTTTGGAAATATGATTTGTGAGAAAATTTCCCGATCATATTCGCGACCAGCGCATGTTGGTGTGGTTGGCATTGAAATGCCGCTCATATTATGTTGTTGCTGATGACGATGATGATGTTGTGTGCCAAAGACGGTGCGGTGGAGCAGCGGCGAGCCTAACAGACGTTTTTCTTTGCCACCCTTACCACCGCTAGCCGTCAAAATGCTACTGTTTATCGATCCCGAAGCATTATTACCGCTATTGCTACCGCCTACTCCGAAAGTTGTACTCAACTTTGTTAAAATCGGTACGGAATTTTTCCGATGAGCATCATATTTAGCACCAGCTTTTTCTTTCAAATCATGGTTATAGGTATGACTTTTCTTAATGCCTGAACCAGAGACTACGCTGGATAATTCCGCATCGCGTTGACTATTTTTATGCTTATTTAATGGCAGAGTCATGGTCATTGCCGAGTTGGCACTGCTATTGTTTGTTGAATGCTTATGAAATTGTTGAAAAATGCGCTCGCTTTTACTCTTCTTTTTAATGCTTCCGGAACGCTTTTCACCCGCACTGCCCAACTCAGCAATTGAAGAAGTAGATGAGCAGCTATTACTTGAATGCTTCTTACTTTTGTGCGGAAGCAGAGCGAATGAACGAGACTTGCTACTTATTATGCTGCTACTCTCCGAGTGGTGGTCGGTATTGCCGCTTGCGGTAGATATATTGGAATTTTGACGTGACGCCGTGTGCACACCACCACCGCTAATCGGTTCATCACCGTATATTAGTTCATAACCGAAGTCACGTAGTTTCAAACCTTCCTTGGTGCGAGTGCGACGTATATCTTCATCGGTCGGTTTAAAACTAATTTCGTAATCGGGCGTCTTCGGTAAACTACGATTCTGAGTTTTGGACAGTTTACTACTTATACTGCCGGCACAACTGTCATTGCAGTCACCACCACCGCCACCGCCACAAGCTCTATTCTGTTGGATATCTTTCTTTTCGACACCTAGCAGCACACGATTGTTATACATCTCTTGGGCCTCCTCCTCCTGCTTACGCAACATTAAATCTTTTAAAGTGATAAAGGTCTGTATATTATGATGTGCATCCCACGAATTGGCTGAGTTTATTTTGGGCAGTGAATAGTCAAGTGTTTTTGAAGTTTGGAAATCGAATTCAACCAAATTTGGATTGGACGCATGTATGAAGTTGTATGGTATTTTACGCATTGATCTCGATGATATGCTTGAAGTTGATGTGGAATTACTGAGCGCACCAGGTGATTGATGGTGCGCGGAATAGGTGATATTACGCTCTGGCACCGGTGCCGGTGACGATGGCGGTCCTAAGCAGGCTGTAGACAACATAGAAGAGTTGATTGAAAAATCTGTACCGTTGCTTACGATTGAGACGTGACTTGAAGACAGCGAAAGTTTACGATCTGAATCTTCGTGAGTGGGGAGTGGTGGAAGTGGCGCCGCGGTTGGCGCCAATTGTGGCTGCGAAGTATTCATACCATATGTAGGGGGATTATTACTTGGCTGAAGTTGAAATGACAGATCGTGATGGTAGCCTGGAGTATTGGTGCCAATCTGCAGGCCAAAACTGCCGCCGGGAACTTTTCGATAACTACGATACTGATCAGTGGGCACTGGAATGTCACTCGAATGTTTCTTCTCACTTGATGATATACTGCTTTTGAACGGCAGGGTGCCCTTTGTTAGCTTACGCAGTGAACCCAAATAACGACGTTCCTGTTTCGGCTGGGAAGTGTTGGGTGTGGATGTAGCGGCTGTTAAATTAGCAATGATATCCTTTCCTGATGATTGCGGTGACGGCGTGCATAAATTGCTAGACACTAAGGATTCAGTTTCTTCGCCAGAACTATCGGTTTCGGAGAACAAATCTTTCGTGTTGATGTCTTCTGCTGCGCTGCCCGATGAGAGTTGCCGCATGTTGTGCGAATTTGGAGGTTGTGTGTGCAAAGTGGCTTGTTTGAGTAATTCCACCCACTGATTCAGCGCATCTTGTGACTCGACCGCGAAATAGAAGGTTTTTGCGGCGTGATATACTTTAAAGGCATGCGGCTTCGAATGCACTTCCTGAGAATATAAAAAACGCATATTAAGACAATTATAATCAACTAAGTTATTGATTATACTATATATTTACCTTAGCTAGTGACACCGTAAATCCAGGTAGAAAGATAACACAACTGGCTTTTGTTGCTTCCTTCGATCGGAAACCGTAAAGGATAGTATTCAGCATAACAAAATATAAGCGAGCCCAAAATGTCACGCCTCGTCTATCTTTCGTACGTCTGTACAAATGACCTTGTATATCACCTGTTCCAAGTACTTTCAGGTTAACATTGCGTCTTTTATTGACCAAACTATGTTTTTTCTTCAGCGACAATGTGCGACTCTTTGTTGGAGTGTGCAATTCGTTGACTTGTCCTGTAGTATTCGGCACATTAATATTGGCGCTGGTCGTATTTGTCGGCGAATTCATCATTGCGGGGATTGCTGGTAAGGGTAATTGCAGTTGAGTATGGATAGATCCTTCTGCATTTACAGGGGATGAATTAGGTTTTTTAATGTTTGCAGGGGATTGCAATGTCGTACCCATCAGACTCAGGGGTTTAGGAGGGGGTGGTGGTACTGGTTGCGGCGACATGTCTTTTTGTTTACGTGGACGGGGAGGTGGCACAGGAGGAGTTTGCTGTAGAAACTCTTTTCGCGGCTCAATAGCGGGTGGTGTTTCACTCTCTACACCTGTATTGTCGTAGGCTGGAGTACTATGGCTTTTGTCTAGGCGACCTCGACGAGCTACGATGGGTGCGTTTACTGCTTCCACAACTTGAGTTGCAGTAGCTGCGTCGGGCAATGGAGCCGGGGGTTTGGGTGTGGTTGGTGTCGTTGTTGGCGTTGACGGCGACAGTGCTGAGGCTTTGTCTTCGCGCACAGCATTACGTTGCATATCCAACACATCCTCATCCTCCTCATCCGCAAAGAGTATTGGCTCAAAAGTTTCTAAAATAGTATTTTCAACATTGCAAGTAAATTTTTGATCCACCGGATAGTCTTCATATTTCATATTAGCATCGAAGCGCACAACTTTGCTCACTCCTGGCTTTGATCGCTCAATAGAATTTTCACCATTTTCTGTGCTGTCGGCATTGGTTTTCGATTTGTTGAACACATCTTGTATTTCATCGTTTTTGCCACCCATACCTATACAGGTTTTCGGCCGTGAAGTTAACTCCAAACCAAATCCGAATGACTTGCATTTATCTCGTAAACTTGGTGACGACGGATCGCATACAATTCCGGCATTTGGTTTTTGATGTTGAAACAGATCATTACTGCATTTCAGGTCACCACTGATTGTATGTCGACGTTGTAATACTGTACGGGGTTTTTCGTAATATAGACGACTACGTTTCTCTGATGTCTTGGTTTCTATAGGTGAAGATGTGTCACTGCAATTGGATTCTGTATCCGAAGCAGTTGTGGCTGCTTTTTCTTCAGACTTCAGCGACAAAAGCTCAAACGCAGCTTGATTAGTAGGCACAGTTAGGAAACCAGTCCTTGCGGGCGGCAAGTTTTCACCCCAACGTGATCCAACTGTGCGTTTTTTGCTCGGTAAACGGTAAGGTTGCATATAAATTTGACCATATATTTTTGTATGCTTTGGGCGCTTTTTCAACGTTAATAGCACATCAGTTGGAGATACATGTAGTTGGTGCCAAACAGTTTTACCCTGCCACCCTACTACTGTCTGATAGTTAATCTGCACAATTTCGTCACCGTATTCTATTTTTCCAGAAGTATGCGCTGGTGAATTATACTTAATTTCAGTAATCCTATGAACACCATGATAATTGGATTCAATCTCAAAGCCAGGATCCATCTCTCGCTTCTTTACCGTGACGAGATTTAGTGAAGCTGGTTGTAAAAGCATAGGATCTGATATATCTTGTATAATGTAATTGGCAAGTCGTTCAAGCTTCTCCGCTGTCCCACGTATTTGATCTACAGGACGTTCGACGAAACGATCTCTCTGCGCCATGGTAGCCATTTCAAGCCCGAGACGTAGTAAATTTTTACATATTTCTGTGAATTGAACCTGGCCTTGAAAGGGTGCGCGTTCCAGCCAACCTATCAGAGGTTTTATAGTACCAATAGTCCGCGTAATATCACTCAAAATTTGTGTTTCAATTTTGGATGAATCACTATGCGTAACCAACTGTCGATGCAAGCTGTGTGCAGCCGTAGCAACATGTAATGCCATAAATTGAAGATTTTCTTTATCTAAATTGTAATACTAAAAATACCACAATGAATCCGATTATTATGACTATAAAAATGTTTTTTGTGTACTTACGAAGTTTCGCAAATTTTCAACAGCTTCCAAAACAATTTCCTGATGACCAATAGAGTACATTCCCAGTTGTTCCAATTCATATGGGCGTAGATTTAGTAGTTGGCGACCACCTACTTCATTATTTGTAAAAGATCTAATGTAGTGCTCCATTGACTCATCTAAACCTACAAAATTATTTTAATAATTTTAATTGATATTGTATATGTACGAATCGGGAGTGGCATTTCTTGCTACAAATATATTAAACACAAATGTAACAATACTTTTGTTTACCATATAATTTTATAGCCTTACCCTTCAGCCAGTCGGTCACTTGGTCTGTCGTCCATTCTACAACGTTAATGTAAGCCATTTTTGCGGTCTATTTAACAAACACTGGTGCCTAATTTTCCATTTGAGAGAAATTAAAAATAATTTTGTGCAAAATTTGTCCGTTTCTCACACCGTTCCGTAAACTACACCCAGCACTTGATATCAGCTATCTTCTGATGATTAACTTTTTGCAGCACCATTTCAAACTACATTGCTTACTCCGAATATAAAACCACCTGATTAAAACCTACACAATTATTAACTGAATTGAAGTATAATAAAAATTATTGGATGGAAAACGTTAATACAAAGTTTTTGTGTACGACTTTTTAATTCCGAACAGTAGAAAATCCGCTAAAGTATTTCATTCTCACATAACTGAAATTTGACAGTTCTGTCAAAAAGATAATGTTGCAAATTGATTCATAAACATAACAGTACGCTTCCACCGAAACTGAAATCAGTGATTAAAATCAGAATTTGAGTCCGTGATCAAATTGATTTCCTTTTCCGTTTTGTTGTTATTTTTACACATCGTCGTCATAATACACGTAAAATATGAATTTATTAATTATTAGCTTATTAAATACTAATGAAATAAAAATAAAATTTGTTGAAATACAGAAAAAAATTGAATATCTTTCTCAACAAAGCTTGTATACAAATGAGTTCCTAAAAATGTATATCGATATTTAAATTAAGTGAAACACACTTTGATTATTATTGAAACTAACAGAAATATAAGCGTAATACCGTTAATGCTCGTATTTAAAAATTAGTATGAATTTTGACGTGATCTGGCATTGCCACAACTTTCAGATAAAACCATTTTCTTTATTTATTCTGTGTGAATCGTACCGCGTGCCGAATTGCAAAAGAAATGTCGGTATCTTCGTCCACACAGGGAAAACAAGTTAAATTTTACCCTTCCAGCTCGGCCAGCTCCGATAGGTAATTACCAATCGCTGTGCTTAAAAGTGAACAAATTTATTTTAACAAAGTGATCGGCAAACACATAACTACATACATATATGGATACAGTATCTAAATTCACTCTTGTTGTTTTTGTTTTAATTGCTGTCACTGTTTGTGCAAGGCAAGCATTCAGTGCGCAATAAACGATTCAGCGGCACAATATTAGAATTTATTAATGAAAAGTATACAAAATAAATGCAATTTAAACATAACTACCTTGACAAAATCATATAAATCTGGTTTCCTGTTTCGCGTTAATAAAACACTAATCCTATACAAAGAAACTGCATCTACATAAGTACATATATAGTACATTTGTGCAATCAGCCAGACTGGCTGACACAGTGCAAGACGCGGCGGGTTATTTTAGCTTCCGATTCACTTTAATCTGGATAAAATAAGACGTGTAGTTAATTAGTGTGTAGAAAAACTTACCACATTCGGTCGAAAAACATGAATTTGATTATAATATTGCATTCATAAATACTGTACTGGCATACTGCCTTATGATTTACATACATCGAAATAAAATTTAATTTTTCTCCAGCTTTTCGCTGTGCAGTGCATAAGTTTTGGATTTGTATTCACTGTGCGCATAAAGATTTTCTCTAAGACCGGTGAATATTCTATATTGTGGCGAGATCGCTTGTTTTTTTTGTCTCCTAGTTTTTGAAACATCATGAGTGGAGAAGTGACTATGCCACACAATGGAATAGTATGCAAAAGTGATATCTTGAAGAAAATTGACAACGAGACGGAGATGCCCCTCATCGAGGAGCCTGTTAAAAAACTACCGTCAGTAACAATATCTACTGCATCAGTGTCTAAATCATCCACGTCGTCATCTTCTTCGTCAACTTCATCACATATTTCGTGCACCGCCGATAGCGGCATTGGTAGTCTCATGTAATTTTAAAATTTCACCATATATATTCATATTGAAAATATTTCTCTAGTATATTTGGATATTTGGTTTTTTATTTCATCAATTATTTTAAGAAACATACGTAGTTTGCACAAATATTTGTTTTCTCTTTAGTTTACATATTTTATATTTACATAAAATTCTGTGGTAAAAGTTTACATAAAAGAAAGTAACATCTTTTGTTCATATTCTCATTTGATGTATTTGTAGACATTGTATGTTTGCATGTTGACTTGTTAGTATTTGTCTTCATAAATCCTTTGAAGATATCAACAGATGAAGAATAATTATGAGTTTTTTAAGATATTTTAGGTTTTTAATTAGATAGATAAATCACTAAATACTACCAACGGTTTTGAACATAAAATATATTAAAGCGTTGTTGAGTTTGAGTTGACACAGCAGTTGCTTGAAGACAGAATTTTTTATATGTGAAAGTTTTATTAGCATCGTATCATTAATTAATTATTGTTAGCGTTGGCAAATTTTCTTGTTTGTATGGACACATTAACGAATGCAAGCAAAATCTTTGTGAGGTTATAACTTAAACATTATCATGCATTTTTTTGTAAGCAATGCGGCAGTTTATGTTTGATCTTGCTTTCGTTGGTCAAATAGAATCTGCGATATCCCTTTGTGGACAATTCTATAAATACACTTGAAACGAAAAACGGCAAAAGCACATGTGAGAGGATGCCAATGCACATGTTGTTGATGATACTATATATGCCGGTAAATTGAACCAATCATGCAATTCAATAATAAAAACAACAATAAATGTTTTTTATGTCCCTCAGAGTATATTTTAATTAAAATTCAAATCAAACATCGGCTGAATTAATGCAAATTAAATAAAATAATCTTGTGAAACCACTTTACTGCATATAAATATTCTGTAAAAATATATTTGTTGTAATTAAAAAAAATTAAATATTTGAGTTTTATATTATATATTCATATTTTAATAAACCAAACCATTTTTATGTAATTATTATAACTTGACATAGATATTGATTATATGAGAGGTAACATACATATGTAATTCAGACATCCACATAATTCGTTTCGATTTGTGTATTTTTATGTGGTCGTCCAATTTCATTTGTTGTGTATGTCAATATAGATTATTATCAACATTCACATAGATATTTATATTCAAATAAGAGAATCACGTAGGACAAAAGTTAATGCTCTACATTCAATTGCGTTTTCAAAATAAATTCTGAATATGTCAGTCATGGGTATGTTGAAAAACATATGCCTATATTTGCAAGAATTACGTGTTCAATCGTGACATATGATGTATGTACATATTTACAAACCGGCTCATATAAATTACTCCATAAAGCTTATGAGGTGTTAGCGATATGTTTGAGCGTTATTAGTATTGTCATTTGTTGTATCTCGGTATAGTAATAATTAATAATAATTTTACGTTGTTCTTTTCTCCCCAAGACGTTGCCCATTCGTCGGAACCTCTGATATTGTACCACTCTTGCTGGTCGCTGTAATACAAACTGAAAATGTAGTCATTGATGGAAAAATTCTCAATTTGACAAAGTATCTTCTCTCAAGAAAATGTTCAGATCAACTAAAGCATATATGTAACTGTCATACAGATACTGATTAAAAACGAAATAAATATCTTTCTATAAACTTTTATAAAATGCACTTATGAAGGGTATTATGGCTTCGATGCAGCCGAAGTTAATTTTTTTTTCTTGTTTGATTTTAATAATGTAAAAATAATTATTTTTCGAACTGATTTGAGTAATGCATAAAATAATAGTTTTCAGATATTTAAATTTCATTTCCATCAATAGGTTTTTTTCTTTTTGTTTTGAAAAACTTGGTTAACGGTCTAATAAACAGTGAAAATGTAAGGTAATTGGTGCATAAAATAATTGTTTGACAATTCTATATTAGACAAGCAGAATTTATTTCTTTATCAATGGCATGGACATCTTGAAAGCTCTATATCAATTGGAAACTTTGCTTACTGTGCGCATTTGAAGTAATCAGGTAGAAATTTGTCATATTCGTTTAATAATCAGAACCATCTGCTTAATTTAAGGTGTTGGTATTCCAAATATGTAATGTTTTTATATTCTATCCTTTCGAATTATCTCGTCATTGCAATGCATATTGTGTTAGTTAATGTAAATTTGTGCTTAAGAAACTTTTTTATATTTATCATTCCAATTTCAGTGATGATCGTTCAGACTTAACGGAGCAACTTTATGTTGATCCAAATTTATATGTGGACATTGGTAATGGGGATTATTGTTGCCCCGCCTCACCTACCACTGTGCCCGGTCGAATAGTGTTATCTAATTCATTGGAGTCACCAGCACGTACTACTCCGTCACGACCGGCGCGCCGCCAACGCACTACTTCAGTTAATAGTCAATCGACCACCGCCAATCCGGCAGAGTGCATAATCCGTGCCAATAACCGTACTATTTATACAGCTGGACGTCCACCATGGTACAATTGTGCCGGTCAGCAGGTAGAACCATTTGTTATTGGTGAGTTCAGATGGGAACGTTAGCTGATTCGAATAGCATTAAATTGTAGACTATAAAATAGCAGTGCTATGCATGCTTTATCAGTTATAAATCAATATAGAAATTATAAGAATTTAATGTGACAATGAAATTTATGTCTTGCGCAGGAGTTTGCGGTGGCAGCGCATCCGGTAAAACAACAGTTGCACAAAAAATCATCGAGAGCTTAAGCGTACCATGGGTGACATTGCTTTCCATGGATTGTTTCTACAAGGCAATTATAATATTAAAGTTACTCCTATGAGCTTATTTAAAATATATATACTTTAATTTGTACAGATATTAACAGAGAAACAACATGAACAGGCGTTATTGAACGAATACAATTTCGATCATCCAGACGCATTCGATATAGACTTATTGGTGGAGGTGTTAACGAAACTAAAAGAGGGCCGCATGGTGGAAGTGCCCATATATAATTTTGTAACACATTCACGTGAATCAAAGACTGTGAGTAGTAATTTTTTACATCTACTTTTCAACGTCTAAGTTCATATTTAATATCTTACAGAAAACTATGTATGGCGCTAATGTCATTATTTTTGAGGGTATTTTAGCATTTCACAGCCCAGAAATACTTAAACTCTTAGATATGAAAGTATTTGTAGACACCGATGCAGATATACGTTTAGCAAGGCGTCTAAAGAGGTGAGCACAATTGAAATGTACACGATTTGAAGACAATACTCTGTGCCCCATATATGCATTTATACATATAACAAGAAAAAACGGCTATACCGAAGCTAGAATAACCTTCACAAATACAGAAGTTTCTTCACAAGTATTTTATCTTGTTAGCAGCTATGTGATGTAGTTGTCCAATTTGAAAATTTTTTTCGGAAATTTAATCGTTGTTTAGAGCAATAATCCATGAAAACATATGTGAATATATCTCAACAAATAAAAAAGGTGTCCATCTAAAAACTTGATTTTGATAGTTCAGTTTGTATACCAGCTATACGCTATGGTGGTCTAATATCGGCGATCCCGAGAAATAAGCAGCTTCTTCGGAACAAAATGATGTGTGCGAGATTTCAGATCGATATCATAAACACTTAGAGATGTAGCGGACATGGCTAACTTGGTTCAGCTCGTCACGCTGATCCCTTATATCCGTGTATACATTTTATAGGGTCTCCCACATTTCTTTCTGAATGTTACCCTGTTCAAGGTATTAAAAATAATAATAATAATTTATAAGCCAGCTTTTATGCATGACGTAGTTTTGCCGTATTTATATTTCTGAAACATATTGGATGGCTTGTTACAGGTTTGTTCATAAAATGATTGTATCTCCTACTACAACTTAACAAGATTGCCACACTCTCAAGGAAATATTAAAATAGTCAGTATGACGCTGCGAATTGTTTTTTTTTTTTGGAATGTATTACATTTTTCATTGTGTCCATGTGCTGGACACTCAAGTAAATCTTAGCAACATATTTGTATGTATAAATGCATATGCTTTCATATATTGGAATATAATAAATTATACATTTCAATTTACCATTATGTATGCTTAAAACGGAAATGATTGTTATGAAGAAAATAAAAATTCTTTTCACAGAGACATTTCACAACGTGGGCGCGATCTCAGTGGTGTGCTTAAGCAGTATTTAACCATGGTGAAACCTTCTTACGCCAATTATATAGCGCCAACAATGGCTCATGCTGATATTATCGTGCCACGCGGCGGCGAAAATAAAGTAGCCATACATCTTATCGTGCAACATGTGCATACACAATTACAATTGGTTAGTTATTTGTGCACATAATTAAATATGTCTAATAAAATATATATATTTTTTTCATTTAGCGTGGCTTTAAGTTGCGTGAAACATTAGTGAATTCCTATAAAGATCAACCAATGCCAGAGTCGCTACATCTACTGCCACCAACACCACAAATCAAAGGACTGCATACTTTTATACGTTGTCGTAGCACTTCCAGAGATGAATTCATATTCTATTCTAAACGTCTTATACGTCTGGTTATTGAATATGCATTAAGCCTTTTCCCATTTAAAACAACGACTGTGGAAACACCACAAGGCGTGCTCTACGAAGGTAAGCTAATCGTACTTGAAGCACTCGCAATATCATTATCAAATATTTGGAACTAACATAATTTACTTTTAATATTTTAGGAAAACGCATGGGTTCTCGTAAAATATGTGGCGTATCTATATTGCGTGCTGGCGAAACAATGGAACAGGCTATATGTGATGTTTGCAAAGATATACGTATCGGCAAAATTCTTATACAAACTAATCGTAACACTGGTGAACCAGAGTTATACTATTTGCGATTACCTAAAGATATCAAGGATTACAAAGTCATTCTAATGGATGCCACAGTGGCTACAGGTGCTGCTGCTATGATGGCTTTACGCGTTTTGCTTGATCATGATGTACCAGAGGAGAATATAATATTAGCTTCTTTGTTGATGGCTGAAATCGGTGTTCATTCGATTGCGTATGCTTTTCCAAAAGTAAAAATCGTGACATCTGCACTGGACCCTGAAGTAAATGATAAGTTCTACGTGATACCCGGTATTGGTAATTTCGGCGATCGTTATTTCGGTACTGAACCTTCTGATGACTACCTTTAACTATTTAGATTTAAAAAAAAATTAATTTAATAAAATAAAGAAAAGTAATTTGAATGGTACTGGAATTTTTTTACTACGTGCTCTTTGACTATCACTCAAATTTTAGCTATCTAATGAAACACTAACAAATTTAAATTGGATGTAATTTAAGTGTATTGACTCAATATCACTACTCTTTATTCTTGTATTAATTTCTACAAAAATTTCGACAACATCTGTATAATTAAAGCTACAAACAAGAATATCAGCCCAAATCCAACATATTTCTTTATGATATCCTCATTTTTATCCTGCGAATGTGAGGTAATTTTGCCATTTTGAATCTCACCATTATTTTCCTGTTTTACAGCACACCGAGTCCATTCAGATTCATCATCTATTATTTCGGCCATCATACTGAATTTACTGGTATCGGTTATCCGTACTCGTACTGCAGTACCAAGTAAATTTTCTCGCATAGGCAACAATATTTGTTCATAGTTTTTATTGTGCCCAACATAATGTTGCTTGTCATGTGATATTTCTGTTACCAAGACAGTGTACAGTTCGCCTTTGCGGCCATCATATGGTGAATAGCTGTTAAATAAATCCGTTAATCGTTTGGTTCGCTTCTTCACCAGATATGCTGGTATCCGTTCCATCTTGGCTGCAGGTGTACCGGGACGTGGAAAGAATTGATTTATAAAGAGGCTAGGAAAACGATATTTGGCGCACATTTCCATTGTCTCCTCGAAATCTTCTTCCGTTTCAGTTGGAAAACCACAAATTATGTCTGTGGCAATTGTTACGCCAGGAACACGACTACGCAGGAAGTCTACTACATGCTCAAATTCGTTTCGACAATATTCGCGTTTCATTTCGCCTAAAACTGAATCGCTTCCACTTTGCACTGGAACATGCATAAATGCATAGACCCTTGGATGATTCAGCGCCTTTGCAATTTCCTCAAGGTGCTCTAGTATATAAGGTGGATTGGTCATGCCCACACGCAGCATACAATGTTCTGGTATAACTTCAACTAACTGCCATAAAAGTTCAGGTAATGATGACCCAATGTCTCTTCCGTAAGCTCCGGTATCCTCCGATGTTAACCAGATTTCGCAACAACCTTCAGCAAAAGCTTGAATTGCTCGATCAACAATCTCTTGTGGAGGATAACTAACAAGATCACCACGAGCATGTTTAGTTTTGCAGTAAGTGCATTGATTAAGGCAACCAGTGTTAATGGGTATTATTTCAATTAAAGGATTCTTTCGCACTTTTGGTAGTGCTAATCGTGCACCGGCAACCCGTTTGCCATGTTCTTTTTTGTTCTGTAATAAACGCACACTATGACCCTTCAATGTTTCTTCCACTACTTCAACAACCCGATCAATTTGCTGCACTCCTATCACAGATAGACCATGTAAATAATCCGATTTGGGTGCACCTTGCGGGACGCAGCCAGCTACAACAACGTGCTTTCCGTTGGCCATGCCAGACTGTATTTCATTTCGAAATGTATCTTCTGAAGGATTCTTTACCGTACAACTGTTAAGTAACCAGAGATCCGCATTTTCTTTTTGATTTGTTAAATTGTAACCGTACGCAGCCAATTGACCAGCCATGTACTCAGAATCAGAATTATTGTGCGCACATCCCCAGGTTTTTACGTAAACGGTCTGAGTTCCTGGTATGACACTCTCATAAACTTTTCTTTCTGGTAACTGGGGCTTCGCCGATTCCCCATTGTAGTCAGTAACAATAATTTGTCCGCGCTTTTTAGGACGTACAGAAACACTTTTCTTATTTCTATAACGATCTCGCGGTTTTACGTCGTCTTCTGATATGAGATCCTCTATATCATCGATATTATTTTCCGGTAAATCTTTCATGGTAGACTGAATATTGTCGGGCATTTTTGACGTTCCACCATGTGTTTGTATTTTGTTAGTATTGTGTTAAGTTGATGTTTACCAAAATAGGATAGAGACTTCTCATGTGTGGAATACAATGCTCGCGAAGAACTGCAAACGACATCTGTCAAATATTAAAATACACACGTTCTTATGGACAGACATATTTTGACAGCTGCACGACTACACGACGGCAGGCCGATAGTTGTCGTTCTCGCTAACTTCAATTTTATCCTATATTTGCCAACGACAGTAGGACGACAGTAAAGTTGACAGTAGAATGGAAGATAGAGAGATGAGGTAGAGTGGTGATCTAACAAACCTGATGTTATTTTACAAATAAAAGCATAAAATAGCTTACCTATTTACTTATATTTTGCTTAAAAATATCACTTTGAACAAAATATTAAAATTTCATTGAAGTGCGAGGTATTAGTATGGCCACAACGAAATTGTGTACATGCAAAATTTACAACTGCGTTGTTTTGTGTACATGCCGGCCATTGTTATGTTGTTGCCCTCTCACAAACGTTCATGTAGTAGGATTCAGAACGCCATTTTCAGTTCACTGTCGTTCTGCTGCAGTCTGTCGCGAGTAGCAGTGTTCCTCACATCAAATCTCGTTAATCGATACTTTTAATTTTTATGGGTATATTGGAGATGATAAGGGTTACCTTCTGCGTTGTTTTATTATGTTTCTATAAATATGAAATTTATTGAATCGGGACAACCAGAAATTTATAAAGTCTGCTTGTTTACCTCCTTATGACCTCTGAGCTACACATATTACTTGATCATAGATTACATCAAAAGAAGAACAACAACATTACTATTATCTTTTCTAGTGAGTGTTTAAACAGGACAGCAAGTACTAATTATGTATTTATTGTCTTTTGAACTTGCTCAAGCAACGGAAAATACTTTTATTATGATTTGTCAAATTCGAACAGCTTCATTACTCTTAAGATTATGGTAATAATAATACTCCTATTTGGTACTTATGAATGGTTTTGTCACGTTTCCTTGATTTCGTTCTTGCAAATACTGCAAACTGTTATTGGCTGGCGTCGTCCTCGTCCTATTTGCTCTCGCTCACGCTGCCGCTTATATTTCGCTACTAAAGCCGAGTTATTCAAATCGGGGCTACGTGGTGTTTTTGTACAACAACAACAGCAAACACAATTGAAGAAACTCAACGGTACCGCTTCACCCTCCTCAATGGTTTGTGGTAAATTTTTACCTCGCGTTTCTGGTAGAAACAGACTCGCCAAACCACCGATTATTAATAGCGTGCCCATTATAATTAACGGTAGAACAAGCATATGTTGGCCCTTAAAGGATTAAAAGCGCTGAAAATGTTGAATCGATTTGGCAAAGAAGCTTTGCTCATAGTACTTACCATGTGATTAATAATGGGTATGACAATCGGTCCGATCATCGCAACAACCGAACTGAAACTCATACCTAGGCCACGCACTACTGTTGGGTAGAGTTCAGAGGCGAGAAGCGGAAGCACAACAAATGCCGACGAAATTCCCATCTTACCGACACAGTATAGCAACAACATTACCTCTGGCTGCTCATCATATAATAACGTCAATACACAGGCAACACCACCCACCAACATAGAAATGCAAAGTATCCAGCGCCGTCCAAAGTAGCTTAAACCTGGCCCCAAAATAAAATAAGTGGGCAATTCTACAACACCGGCCAGGAAAAAATTCCATATCTCATCGCCACCCAGAGCTGGTGCATAATAGCTTAATCCGACATAGACACTGGTGTTTGCAAACCAAATTAGCGTGATAATTAAAGTTTTGCGACGCATATTCGGAGTGCGAAACAAGTCCAAAATGCCATAAGATGACTCAGATTCTCCTCTCATTGCCGCATCTGTTTGTTGTAGTTTTTGTTGCATAATTTTTACGAAATCTGGCGGAATATTATGACCGTTGACCCGAGCTATGGTTTTCAAAATACGTGCCGCTTCTTGCGTCTTACCCACTGCAATCAGCCAACGTGGCGACTCGGGTAGCACGAAGTAGCAGGAAAACAGCAATAATAAAGGGAGTGAGACAGTTAGTGTGAGAAAGCGCCAATCCCTTATAAGATAGACTATACCAGCCAATAGTACTAGACCACACGAGTAAGCAATATTGGAGACTATTGTACAGAAGACGCGTCTGTCAGGACCAACCAGTTCGATAGCTATTGGGAATCATATAAATATAGAGTAACAAAATGACTTATGTGCAATATCCTACCTAAAACATAAGGACTTGCAAGTATGGCTGGCACGGTAAGACCCACCACGAAACGCATACCCAACCATGAGTAGTAGTTCCATGCGAAGGCACTAGCCGCGCATGCGACAATTTCTATGATAAGGTATACATAGAAGGAAGGACGTCGTCCCCACATATCTTGCAAATAGCCGAACATATAGTTGCCAATCAAACCTCCAACACCAAACAAAACCAAAGCGAGCGTGACCAAGTAGCTCTGATCGCAAACAAGGTTCCACTAGATGGATCAACAAATAGTAGTGTAATACTTAGTAACCCGATACTAGATACAACGTATAAAATATTACCTCCGTAACCACTGTGCTGGTGTACATGTTACGATCGTAATACCAGCCATGTTGACATGCTTGTATCTGCCCATGACCTGGATTACCTATCTGCCAGACCTTATCCTGTTGCAACTCAATAGGCGTACGATATTCCATGTACCGCACAATATCCGAGTAGTTACGATTGTACATTTGGCAACTTTCGTATTCAACGCTGTTATTTGAAGCACCCAATGGTATGCTAAGATTTTTCACCAACATCCCGTAGTCCTGCGCCCATGGTTCCAGTTCGGGTACACGGCACCAGTGTTTCGGCGACGCTGCAATAAATAATTGGCTGTGGATTTAGGTAGTTTATTTGTTATAAAAGTTCTACGGCCACTTTCTAATTCACCTGTAAGCGTGGAAGGCACAAGGTAGCGCGGCAGGCAGCAGTACCGAACAAATAATAATTTTTTGGTACAAACCAAAGGATCCGACCTCTTTAAGTACTTCATCAAAATCCATGGGTGGTATGATAATCAGACGGTTGAACAAATTTTCATAACTTCTTAAGTAGAGGGCTACCCAAAATGATTGCGCCACAAACCGAACTATGCGCGACACAAAAGCCCACTTGGAACTGAAGGCGCGCGCGACTCAACCCAAGTTAATGGGGAGAATGCTCATCAATTGGCAGCCCCAAATATTTTGTAAATTCATAATTTTATGAGTCGCTGGTCGCTATGTTTGGTTGCATTGCTGGTGATGGCGATGGACGATTTTATGAACGTCGATTTGTTCGTCTTCTAAATGTGTGACGCCTTAGTTGCCCGGTCGACTTTATTTGTGGTTGTTTTGATTCACAATTTCAATTGGTCATAATTACATTATGGGCACTAGCCTGTTTAATTAATTGGCCACCATAGCGCTGTCAAGGTCTCTGTCCCAATGGGAGACTCAAAGACCACATGGTTTCTGGTTTGCATGGTTATGTACATATAAGTATGTATGTATAGGACCATGCATAACCCCTCATAAGACTAAATCTTCTTAATAGGGTTGATATAAAACTAGTGCTATTACTTGGTTTCTTCGGTAGTGTTGTCGGGAGTTCCATCATGCTTCAAAATATTTTGATTAGCTTGAGTCAGACCAGGGTATTCATGTTATTACTGGCGTTAATAAATATCATGGTGTGGTCATCATATTGGATTACTTCTTTCTTAAAGTCTTCAACTTATAAATATACGTAAATTTCTTTAAAAAAAATTGATAGAAGTTAGAGGTGAAGTTATGTTAGATGTGATTGGATCGTAGGATTAATTCTCATATCAAATCAAGCGCTGGATACCCCTTGGACAGTTGTGCACGCTGGTCGTTTGTGATACGCAAAATCCTGGCTGTGGATCCCTAAATCTTCACAAATCGATAGTGTTTTAGCTTACAAAGATTTTAATGGTTACTATTAATCCCGATCATTTCACGAATTCTGCGATGGACAGGCCCACTATAAATGCGGCGAAATGAACTGTGTCAAGAGCTAGTACTTCAAAGCCAATTTTACGTTCCACTCAGATCCAGAAGAACCTTGCAGCTAGAAAACTAGAAATACACCTTGATTTTTGAATTTATTTCTTTTTTGTTGCGAAAACCAAAACCTCAATCAGCTACTGGGTTGCTGCGAATACTTTTTATGAATTTTTTTTATTTGCAATACAAAGCATGGCATTTAAATGATTAGGTATTTTCATTTTCCAAACTCATGTATATTTGTTAGTATATGTCGGATAATTTGAACGTAGACAGCTGGAAAAATACAATAAGACATTACACTCACTTAGGCTTGTATTATTATTAGTTCCATAACGAAGGTATTCATTTAACTAGTATGTGTGCATGTTAGACAAACATTGTGTTTATTACGAGATAACTAATGTTTTTTCTCACAGAATATTGATAATCCTACATAGAATTATATGAATTTCACTTCATAATAGCAATGTATTGGGTAGTCGAAAAAGTTTTTAGTATTTCTAATGGAATTTCTGCTTATTTTTTTATATTCCTGTACTCAAAACAATGCTGCACTCCATCGATTAAAATAAGCCAGAAATACATCACAATCTCATCATTAAAGATTTACCAGCAACAGGGGTCACGGAGAGAACAACGGGGTAAAGCAGAAGGTACATATAGAACTAAAACACCAGTATTTTTTATTAGTTAAATATATTTATATAAATTAAACATTATAAAAGTAATATTCAAGAAAATAAGTTCACAAATATATAAAATGATTAGTAGTAGGTGATTCCAAACTCCTGTGCATTGTTGTATTTTTTCATTCAGCTGTCTACGAGTCCCATTAGGCTTAGTATATACATGAATATTGTGACGATATCGATGTAAATACTAAGCGCTGCAAATATATAATCTTCTGGACTGATCGCGTACCGATGTTGACCGCCTAACATCATTTGTATATCAAAGATCAGATAGAAAGAGAATATGAGAATTCCAAGGGAGCAGTAAACTATCAAAAGCGTGCGCGAAGGTACAAATATGGCTACGAGTCCGATTATAAGTAAAATAATTGAGCCAACTAAAAGGATGGCGCCACAGGCGGTAAAGTCTATGGCGGTTTGCATGGCAAACACGGTGAGCACAAGAACAACGAGCGTCGTTATGCCCAGCGAATATAAGACCTGTGTTGAAATGTTGGAAAATTGTATTATAGCGCTTGATATGCAAGTGCATCGTTTATGCTATAGAATACTAACCGTATCCGGCGAGTACCTGATGGCAATACAACCTAGCAAAAATGATTCGGCTAACGTAAAGAGTATAAGTAGTACGAAATTTAGGGGAAAGCTGCGACGAACGCCTTCACAGCATGCGATCGGTATCATGATACCGACAATGCAACCCAATGCCACCCACATCAGCCAAGGACGTTCGACCACGAAATCCTGTATTGCATCTACGTAAACGAACGCGAAGATAATTCCGAATGTTATGAGAAGTTGAATCTGTAATCATTTTATTGGCGCATATCATTGGTTCGGAAGTGATTTTACCATCGTATTTCATCATTATTCATTATTCATACTCACCGCAATAATACCGAACACCTTCGTGATGAAAGCATGCCGTACGTATTTGTCGTCGAAATCTTCAAAGGTCAAACTTTCTAAATCGCGTCTTTGCATTTTGGTTAATAAATTTTGATGACTCATGCAAACAATCTGTATATTATCGGAAGTTGTGACTAATTTTCTTTCCGAGTTCCTCAACTCGTTTTCGTCAAACAAAATGTTGAAGGAAAGATGAATGTGCTGTCAGAAACTTCCAATACTTCTTGATTTATTTACATATTTTGAACTGTTTTCCAATCGTCATTGATGAACTTAAGTTTCTAATAATTACATACGAACATGCTTTCATTATGTAAGTACTATAAACTCCTATGATTTATTTTTGGAGCAGTGCGGAGAGTTCATGTCTGTGGTATAACATGAACGAAAACGTGTTGAGTCTATCCATAAGAGATAGAGAGGTTATGTCGGTGATTTTAAAGCACTATTTTTCGTTATTTTTTCGATATCATTAACAGTGGTGGATGGATGACTCACATGAGAAAAATTGTCGACTTTCGTTGAATGCTAAATAATAAAGTAGAAGTTCATAAAAAATACTTCTGCTACATTTTCAACGATTTTGTTGAAAACATAACATTTCAATTAGAGTTAACTGCAGAATAATTTACGTAACTGAACGTTTAATGTGAGATGGGGTAAATTGCCTGTAGATGATATCATCTTGATCTTTAAATTGCTATCAAAGTAAATAACTTTCTGGATAAATTTTTTAAATTTAATTAAAATGTTTGTTTTAAAGTGTTTGTTCTATTGCACACAAATTACTTTTCCTTAAATAAAAAATATCTATTATGTGAACTCAAGTTGACCATTTATTTGTGGGCCACGCCAATAATAGCCAATATATACATGAAGATATTTATGATATCTAGGTAAAGATTGAGCGCCGCGAAGATGTACTCCTCTGGACTAATGGCATACTTATGCTTGCCGCCCATCATCAGCTGTGTATCGTAGATCAGATAGATAGAGAAGATTAATGCACCAATTGATGAGTACACAAGGGTTATCACTTTGCCGGGTATGAAAATCGCCACAATACCAAAAATGAGGAACACAACGATGGCCACCAATAAAATGCCACCACACATGGTGAAGTCCCATTTCGTTTGGAAAGCGAACAGTGTCAAAGCAAGACATACAGCGGCTGTGATGCCAACCGCCATCATAACCTAAACACATACATGTCTATCATTTTCGAAATGTTAAAATCAAAGTTCCCTTACCTCGTTGGCGGCATAGTATGTGGCTGTTACACTAAGTAGAAAAGACTCGGCCAATGTGAATAGAAGTAGAAATATAAAATTTAACGGTGTTTGACGGCGTACGCTTTCACAGCAGGCCATGCATATCATGGTTACCAAAAGCACTGCCAACGCCACCCAAAATATCCATGATGTCTTGTGAACCCAATCCTTGACTGCATCTACGTATACAAAGATCGTGATAATGCCGAAAGTGATGAGCAATTGCACCTGAAAAGAAAATATCTCAATTAAATTTCCAAATAAGTGACGCATGTATCGCATACCATTAATATCGAATAGACTTTGCGTATGAAGCCCTTCCGTACACTCTCTTCGTCGAAGGAGAAGCTTTTCGCACCTTCAGTATCGTAATTTTGATCTGTATAAGCGACTAAGAAAAAATTAGTATACGAGTTATGATGAGTTGGTTTTTTATGTGCGAAGTGTGCATTATTCGTGTGCTTTGTTTGTGTGTTTTTGTTAATGACTAAAATGATCATCTCCTCAAAATGTATACTAAATAGTGGATGAAAACTTCACAACAGTCTTCCGCGAATATATTCATTTACTGTCTCGGTGCGGTATGCGTTTTTTCTCGGAGATATTATATTAAAGAAAAATATCAGTGCGCAGATCAGTCTTATCACCGAAATGATTCAAAAGATCGAAGAATTCGCAAAAGTCTTAATCAAGCCCAAAATCCGAATTTGATTTGTATACTCTTGCAACCAGTTGCTTCAGAGTATTATAGTTTTGTTCACCTAACGGTTGTATGTAAAGTTGAAATCCGGTTGACTGTCTATCTGTCCGTCCGTCCATGCAAGCTGTAACTTGAGTATAAATTGATATATTTTGATTAAATTTGGTATGCAGGTTTCTTAGTACAAAAAAGTTCGAGTTCGTAGATGGGCGTATCTCCTAAATCACTAAAGAACTAAATTCGCTCAGCACAAATATTGCACTCCTATCTATAGTATGAAAATGGACGAAATCGGATGAAAATCTCCCCATATAACGGTACTGTTCAAAACTACTAAAATCACGATAAATCAATAACTAAATGCGCTAGAGACGTAAAAATTTGCCGTCGGGTTAGTATGACAAGGATTTTTAGGGGCCGGAGTACAAATTGGGCGATGGGTGTGGCACCGTCTACTTTTTGGTGAAATTCCATGTATCGGGACTCGACTTACCGATTTCGACACAATTTGGTATGTGGTATTATTTTCATATTTCTATGTCACATTGTGGAAATTAGCAAAATCGAACAACAAACACGCCTCTTCACATATAGCACAATTTTAAACTGCAACTACTACTATCACTGCGAAGAAGCAATAAATGCCACGGGATAAGACGACGGGCTGCCTCCATTTTTCCATGCCCGTCTATCTGCATATAGTTTATGCACTAGTCCCTCAGTTTTTGAGATATAGATCTGAAAATTTGCACACGTTCTTTTCTCTCCAAGAAACTGGAAAAATTTTTATTTGACGAGATATATTCATGAATTTTGGCATAAATAATTGTGCAAAACAACGATAAAATCGTCGAACAAATTTTTCAAATCGGACCACTACAGAATATAGATATCATATAAACTGATCAATCAAAATCAAGTTTTTGTATGAGAATTATGTTTTTTTAAGGCTTTATAGCTTCAGTGCAACCGAAGTTATCTTTTTCTTGGTACTTGTAACATTGAACTTCTTTTTGCTGTAATACTAAACTTATTTTCTTAAAATTTTGATATGTATGTTTTTTTGTTTTTTGTTATTAATAATTAGCATAAATAATTCATAAAGTGATAAGAATTCACTTTAATTGATGAGTGTGCGTGCTTAATGTTGGTGCGTTTACTTGCGTGTACATGTGCTGGTGTAGCGTGGTGTGGTGCAAATTATAAACAGAAGCATACTCTATTCCATTTAAAAGCAATAAGATATTATTTTCAGCATAATATTGAGTGCAAAATGCTTAAACCACAGTTATTACAACATACACTGCGGTTAGTTCAGTACTTTGAATTTTTTTCGGCGACAGGAAGTAATAACATCCGTTTATGAATGAATTACTGCTACAGGGTGTGCTAAATGTATGTGCTGGATGTATCGCCTGTCGCATCTGCAAATACATGCATATATACATATGTAAATATGCCGGTTGTTGTGTTGTGCTTCTCTCAAAATATATAAAAACTTGAAGAAGAGTTAGCGACAGAAGAATTGGAGAATAAACCCAAGTAAAGCCATTTTTGTAGAGATATGTAGGTCTGTCGTTGACACTACAAACCTTTAGGATATTCAGCATTGAAAATGTTAAACAGGATGTACATACATTTTTTTATTTTCAAATCCAAAAAAAAATCCGAATAATGAGATTTCTTCTAAGCAAAAAAGTTTATAGTGCTGCATAACAGGCTATGAACTAGCGCCTTTTGATATTGCTATTTTAATCCACACAACTGTACATATGTGTGTATATAGAAGAAATCAATTTCTAACTTTTCTAGACCCTGCTAGCATGAACTAAGCTCATCCATTTAAGGTGAATACGTCCAACTACTTGCGAATAGAAAGTAAAGCTTAAAATAAGCTTGTCGAGTATGTTTGCACATACATAAGTATGTATGAATGTAAATATGTGGGCAGTTAGAAACAGAAGTAACAAAACTTTTCAAAATATACTTGTACCATGACTCATACTCTTGCGTTGTTAATCACTTAGTTAATATAAAACAGTATCAAGCTTATGACCGCTGGTGATACACATTGTATTGATTACTAATATTTCGGTACCAATACATACATATAGTATACATATGTATGTTTCATATCTTGACACTGATTCCTGGTAAAGGTTTAGCGACAATATTGTAATCTTTGCACTTGGGATTCCCCGATGTGTTTACTGCACTTTTGTAAGCGTATTTGTATACATATACATATACTTGCCTTGGTACATTTTTCACTTTGCTTGCAGAACTCTAAAATTTTATTAAAAAAAAATTGATAAAAGAGCGTTAAATGTAATGAGCTACAGCGTGCGTTTAAATTCGTACTGTCGCTTCTCCAGTCGAGTAATCTCCGTAATAGTTAAGACACACAGGTGTTCCATTCCAGCCCAATTTTTGATAAAGTATTTAGCTTATCTGCTGATAACGAAACGTATTGATAAACATTCCCAAGAGTGTCCGGATTCCAGTTCGCTTATGGGAATGTTATGAAAGAAAAACGAGAGCACAATTGTAAATTTAAAAATTTAAACCAAAGTAATTTCTCGTATTAAATAAAAACATAAAGAAACGTTAACTTCAGCTGTACCGATGTTATAATACGGGGGGTATTTTATAGCATAACAGGATATAAAGACCTTTAGCATGATTTTGATCGTTCAGTTTGTGCTGCCTGTTAACTATAAGACATAGTGGATCGATCAGAACAATTTGCTAGGAGATTTCACCGTTTAACTTGGAAAACAACCCATGTCAATTTTGGTGAAGATATTTAGCCAATTAGAAAAAAATTTCATACAAGAAGACTATACTATATACGTAATTGAGCTCGCCACATCCATCTTTTATATACATACATACATATATTATGTAGTGTCTCCGACGATTCCTCCTGTGTGTTATAAGCTTCGTGCCAAACTTAATGTACTCTGTTCTGGGTAGACAAATTTCTGAAAATCATTGCTGTATAATATTCAAAAACTACAAACGAGTTAGCCTTATCTATGAAAGTTTAGCCAGATTATTTCTTGTAGTAATTATATACAACAGAAAGAGTTTTATATAGAATAAATACTTTATTTCAAGTTATTTTTTGAAGTTGAATATATATATTTTTATTACATTAATTCAGTTATTAACCAACAAAATGTACATAGGTTTATGTTGATTTCAACGGTTTTCATTAGTTCATTATCAATAGGACTTTTTAGTACATACAGTTTAATAAATCGTTAAATAAATCCCTTTTGCATTTGCCATTCCTGCTTGAAAACCGTTCAGCTGGAATTTTCTATAGCGACTATGATTTGGTAGCAATAACAATTTCCCTTTTTTTGGAATAAGTGAATAGTTTCGTGCCATCATTGCTTACTTTTGATAATATCGTATTTTGCAAGTATGAAGCCTAAAATATTAAAGAATCGTTCATCTTATTAAATAATTTTGAATATGTACTACAGTTAACAATATAATAAAAAAAATTATAATTATCTTAATAAACAAAACAACAGTTGATTAGCAAATATTCATTAATTAGGTGCATAAATACCTACATATATATATTATTGTAACAATTCCAATAAATGTTTTTGTATTTTTTACTTTTTGGTCAATGTTCTCTCTGATTTCTACTGTTATTCTCTGAAAAGAGTAATATGCTTTTCACCGGTAAATATTCATATTCAAATATTAGTCTTTACACTGAGTTATTGTTTTGGAAAAATCACCACACGTGTTTACAACTGTGCTATAATTTTAGAAAAAATGTTGAAAAATAGAGATTTGATGACGGTTAATAATAATAAAAGCTTTATACATAGCACAATATAAATTACGAAGTTAATTTGATTTGAGATTCACAAAATTCACATATACGCGTACATATTATAAGTTCAAAAACTAGTGAGCATGTATAATGCTAGAAAACAAATTTTGAAAATGGAAACATATATAAAATGATTCTGGAACTGGTGTTTTTCACCTGCTTTAGCAATATAAGCTTTATATACATTTACTCTTAGTCTCTGGATGCGCCTATTATTGTCAAAATGTACATGAAGATGTTTACAATGTCCAAGTACAGATTAAGCGCAGCAAAAATATATTCCTCTGGGCTAATTGAGTACTTATGATCGCCGCCCATCATGAGTTGAGTGTCGTAAATGAGGTAAATAGAGAAGAGTAGCGCACCAATGGATGCGTAAACCAGTGTTATGATTTTTCCTTTGATGAATATGGCCGCAATACCGAATACAAGGAATATAACCATAGCCACAACTAATACACCTCCGCACATGGTAAAGTCATATTTGGTCTGGGTGGCAAATAGTGTTAGGGCCAAACAAACCAGAGCTGTAATTCCGACTGCTAGAAGTACCTGAAGCATTTGAAAAAAATAAATATTTTAATAAGTTTATTAGTGGAAAGAGATAATCGGGAATTTACTTCATTGGGTGCATAACGGCTTGCGGAAACTCCCATTAAAAACGATTCTGCTAATGTGAACAAACCGAGGAAAATGAAATTCATCGGAGTTTGACGGCGTACACTCTCGCAACAAGCCATGCAGATCATTGTTACAAGCAAAACGGCCAACGCTACCCAGAACAAAGCTGGATTTCTGTATGCAAATTGTTTGGTGGGTTCATGAAATACAAACAGAGCTACAAAACCAAAAGTTACAACCAATTGACCCTGTTTCATTAAAAAAAAATACATATTAATATTTTCACAAGTAAAGTAAGTAAACGTTTAACATACCATAAGTATCATGTAGACTTTGCGAATGAATCCTTTGCGTATGCTCATATCATCGAAAGAGAAATTCTTTGGTTGACCTTCGGGATCATCGTAGGCGCCATAGCCACCGCCCGCTGGTGGAGGCACCACAAAGCCGGGTTGTGGGGCGTAACCACCAGGTGGGTAGCCTCCTGCTGGTGGATAGCCTCCCGTTGGTGGATAGCCCCCGGCGGTCGGGTAACCACCCTGTGGTGGATAACCTCCCCCTTGTGGGTAGCCGCCTTGTGGTGGATAGCCGCCATAATATTGCTGGTTAGGGTCTGTGATGATAATGTTACGTAAATTAAAGTTTATTGAATTGTATGCTAATTCATAATTGAAAACTTTTTAACAAAATGCTTTAACAAATGAGAACATTAGAATGGAAATAAAAGGAATGGACAATACAAATGTTTCAAGCACAAATGCATAGGTAAAAAAATTCGAGCACTCAACAAATTTATCTATAGTACATGTGTGTATATGATTGTATGATTATTTTTCGTTTTGATGTTTATGAATTGATTTTTGTAGCAATATTAATTTCGTAGCGTTAATAGCTTCACCAACGATATCTTATCATTAAGGTATAAATGTAGGTATCTACATACATATATTATCTACTGGATATGAAAGTGTTTAGACAGTTGTTTTCTTAATGTTTTTATCAGTTGTGAAACATGTACATACATAAATAGGCACATACATATGCATATGAGTAGTACTAATTACATGTGGCTAAATTAAGAGCATTTCATTGAAGTATCTTGAACTTTTAAAATATGTATGCAGTCACATTGAATTCACTTTAAGTTATTTAATGATAACAATCACTTCAAACATGCAACTACAAATTACTTGAGTAGTTGAGCTAAAAACAATGTTTAAATTAACCTTGATACGTTGGGCCAGCCTGCCACGACATTACTACTAACGTGTATTGATTTCCGGATAATGAGGCGTTCTCAAATATTTCAAAACAGTTGTTTTTGCTTTTCCAATTATTGGTGTATTTTTTTTAAACTATGAATGTCTAATTGGGGATGTATAAAAAAAAGAAAAGCAAGATTATTTGGTTGCGACCTCGTATAACTTACCCATTTTTTTCTTACAGAATAAAGTGGATTTAGACTTTTTTTAAAATACCTGCAAAATATTAAAAGTATGCAATACGTTAATATAAATATTGGTTAAATTAATAAAATATTACATTTAATTAATGCATATGAATATAAAATAAATTAAAGTGTTTTGGAGTTAAAAACTAATATCCCTCAAGTGTAGTTGGTGGTCAAGTCAATTGAACATATGCATTTCTGTTTCTAAAGTTAAGAAGTTCGCATATTCAACGTTTTCCGTTTTTATCAAATTTCGCAATAGCCGTGACGACATTAAATCCAATACTAAAACATTTTTATATTCTACTAATGCGAGTTGTTCCACAAACTGCCTTTACTTTGCCCTGTTCACACCCGAAAGATAGCATCGTTTTTATGCGGTGCAGTGTTAAGTGTAAGAGAAAGATTGATTACAGAAGAAATGACTCATGTGATGTGGAAGACCACAACAGTTGGGCTCCAATTGCCTTTCAAAGAGCAAATATAAAAAAAATATTACTGTCAATCCCCCCTTTATCAATTCACTTATATACACATAAAAGTCATACAAATTGGCATTTGTACCAACCAGAATTAAGCGAAAGCAACGATAATTAATTTTCCAGAAACATCTTTCAACACTGTTTTACGAAAACATATGACACTGATGCGAATTATCGCAAATTTGTAAAGAATTTTCTATTTTTAATTACCTTCCAAGAATATGACGTTTTTCAACAGAAAACTCTGCAATATTTATTTTCTCTTTTCACTTTTTCTTTGGCAGCAACGTAAAAGCGCTATTTGTTTTGGCCTCGGTACAATTGCAATTGCGGCAGATACGACGAAAATTTTCTTATTGAAGTACAATCAACCACAGCTAATTTTACGATGACTGCAACATATGCACAGGGTTGCTTTGATTAATAATAGAAAACTTCAACATCGTTGTTAAATTTTAAGTGAGTGCAGCGACGTAACGGGGCATCTCGACAGGATAGCATTTATAAAATACTAACTGTCAAACGAATTGCTATTGTCAATTCATATTTTTGGACTAATAATTGTGGCATAAATTTAATGTATATAGTATATATAGCTTATTAAATTTAAGAATTCGCTCATTCCCAACCCAATTTGCATAATTGTTTGTAAATTAACAATATGAATTTTTTGGAAAAGTATTATTTTGAAAATGTACTTTATTTTTATAATATAACACAGCTGTCTTAAAACTCGCTCTTCTAAATTTCGTATTACCAAAATGAAAATGTGTGCAAATGGGATATGTTGCCTCTTCGAAATTTTCATAGAAATGAAAATTGCGCTGCCAAACGGTTGAATTGACAGCTCATAGCTTACGATATATGGCAAACTAGATAGTATTCTATATCTAGCAGCTATGAGCAATGTGGAGGCTCCACAGGCAATCGGAACTGCAATGCAGAAAGTATTCTATAAATTCTAACCTGTCGAGATGCCCCGTAAGGGTCCATCCATAAATACGTCACACGAATTTAAGTACTTTTTAATAAGTTTATTATTATTAATTTATATTATATT